GCCAGAGTAAGGATTATTTCCCCCACTAAAATACAAAAATCCCTGGATCCTATGGGATATTCATGGTGCTGGGGAATAGGCCTGGATCCACCTGCTCCTTGGAGGCCCCCCAAAAGTCACCCACTTACCTCAACTTCCCCATCTATGAAAAGAATAACATTATCTTTCCACTCAAACTATATCTGATTGTGATTCTAGAATGTGGGGCATGGACAAATAGATAAGAAGTAAAATCCCCAGGTAATCCACATGTTGCAGGATAAGCATACCTGGTCACTTTGGGGTCCTCATATCTATTTCCAAAGGCAAGTATTTGGGACTACTGTTTTCTATTACAAACGATAGATTGGCATAAGAAGCTACCCATGGGCCTCCCTGGTGGCACAAGGTTTAGATGCAACCTATGAAGCTGTCCACAGCCTCTGCAGCACGAGTTCGATCCCCAGCCAGGGAGCAACCCATGTGGCGCAGCAAACCTCTCCTGACTCACCTGCTGCTCCCCTCAGCAGTGTACTTCAGTCAATCTGCCTGTTCTGTTCCACACTCTGTCTCTGGTGAATCTTCTCACCCCCTGCACCTCTGGCCTGTACCACAGCTCTTATATGCATAAATAAATAAATCTTACCAAAAAAAAAAGAAGCTATCCAGAACTGACCCTTAGGACGGGGGTGGGGGGTGGGTTGAAAATCAAGATGCCCGGGGAGACCCAGCTATGCGGGGGGCTGGATTTGAAACATGAGGCTTAGAAAGGAGGCAAATGCAGGCCAGGACTGGAAAGACACTCTGAGTCACCTGATCCAGAGACCAAAGAAATTTGGCAAAGAGAGACTAAAACACCACCTCTTCTGAATGTGTGGAGGAACCCAGGAAGCAGCGGAAAGGGTCAAGACTCAGGACAGTAGTTCAGAGCTCTTCTCAATCATCCTTCCTTGCAAACCCCACCAGGTTAAGCAGGAAAAAACTCCACTCGCCTAGTCCCTCACCTTCCCACTTTCACTAGGGGTAGGGGAGAACTCAGCTGTCTGAATTCACATCTTGGTGCCTCTTACCCTTAAAAAAAAAAAAAGCTGGCTCTAGAACCCCAAGGCATTAAGAGAGTAGGACTAGAAGTGATTTATAACTTTGCATAGCGGAGATACCAGAAACTTTGTTCCCTTCTAACTAATTCCAGAGACAACTAGACTACAACCTCCTGGCAGCCTCTGACCCAGTGATACCCCCCTTTCCCAGACTCCCCTCACCTGGCCTCCCATCACCATTCTAGCATCATCTGTGATCAGGGCTGCCTCTTGATGGCTGTGGCTAAAAAAGAAGCAAGACTGGCATGGGTGAGGGGCTAGGAACTGTCCAGGTCTCCCCACTACCACAAGATCCATGGGTTCCACCCTCTTGGTATAAACCCCTGGGGTCACTCATACCAGGAATCAATGCAGGAGCAGTGAGTGGGGCAGCCACAAGCTAGCATCTACTCACCTGGGATCCTTGGCTGGCTCAGGCTGCACCTCTGCATTGCCCCTGGATGTGAGTGCTGCAGCTGGTGAGGGAAATTACTCTGGACTCAGGTGATGCCTCCCTCTGTTGGACTTGCAACCACAGGCCCCCACCTGCATTCCCCTCCCCCTCTCCAGCAAACTTGTGCACGATCCCCCTCCCATTCTCACTTCCTGTCTTTTCTTTCCCTCCCTAGTTAATCTTCTCCAACAAGGGTCTCACTCTTTCCTGCCACATTTTGTACCCCAGTTCTCCCAGTTCCCCACCTTGGGTCTCTTCCACTGGGCCTATTTTGAGACCCTTTCTCCTGGCTGTCCCCAGCCTCCCTTCTCTTCGGAGCCCTCTCTCCCCTGAACTTCTCCCAGGCTGTCCTTAGAGGCTCCCTCAAATCTCTTTTTCCTCCCTCTCTCCAACCTGCCCAAATTTCCCCCAACACTTCGCCTCCCCTTGTTCACACCCTCTCACCGAGAGACTGCGCTCGCCGAGACACCCCTGCAGGCTCACCCGCGGGCAGCCAGACACCAGCGAGCAGCAGGCAGAGCGCGGGCGCCGGGGCGCGCGGAATCGAGGACCCCATCAGGGTGCGCGGGACCTGGAAGCCTGAGTGCAAGCTGAGTCCGAGGTGCTTCTCCAGCCCAGGAAGGGTCACACCTCCACTAAGTGGCACCTCCCTTTCTCGCTCTCTAGCCCCAGGGTTCTCTCGTCCCACCTCCCAGGCGCTGGCTCCTCCCCGAGGGTGACAGGACCACCCCCCTCACTGGCATAATTTAAGGGAATGGCACGGTCTAGTCTTTGCTCTTCCTGGCCTGTGACTACTCATGCCCAGGAAAGACTGGATTTAGAATGTGCAGGACAACAAGGAGGCAGCCTGGGTAGCAACCTGTTGAGATATCTATCTATCTAGCTGTCTGTCTGTCTGTCTATACCTTACACCGCAGAGCTCCCTGAAGCAGAAGACTAGGTCCTGGAAGCCCTTCACACCAGAAACCCCAGATGCTGGTGTGTGTCTGGTCTTTCCATCTCATTTTATCCAGTTCCTGGGACAGGCCAGGGGTCAGATATCAATAATAGGGCTCCGACCTGCAGAGCCCTAGCTTGTGCTCCCACCACTGCCCCCCACAGCCTCCACTTGGGGACCCAAGTCCCTACCCTACCCAGTTTTGAGCACCTCTAGGAAATGGATCATGCCTTAGTCCTCTATACGTCCAACCTGGCTCAGGCCCCAGCTCAGGAAATGTTAACTGAGTGAGAGACGTGCTTCACATTGCCATATTACTGCTCACATCAAGTCGAACTTTGACAGGAGCGAAGTATACTTTTTTTTTAAAGATTTATTTATTTATGCATACAAGAACTGGGGTGCAGGCCAGAGGTGCGGGGGGTGAGAAGATTCACCAGAGACAAAGAGGGGAGCAGAAACGGCAGAGGTACTGAAATGCACTGCTGAGGGGAGCAGTGGGCGAGACAGGAGAGGTCTGCTGAGCCATGTGGGTTGCTCCCTGGCAGGCTGGGGATCGAACTTGTGCTGCAGAGGCTGTGGATAGCTTCATAGTGCTGTGCTTAACCCCTTGCGCCACGAGGGAGGCCCAACGAAGTATACTTTTGTGGACATGGTACACTTCCTGTCCAGAAAAAAAAAAATGTAATGGTGGAAATGTGGGTCTGAGAGCTTTGGAAACCTCATTCACTTGACCAACTAAGTGTTGCAACACCAACTAGATGTCAGGTGGTGGTGATGTGGGCCCCAATAAACCCTTGGACATTGGGTCATTCATTCATTCATTCATCCATCAACAAAATTATTGTGTACCTATTCTCCACCACACATTGTTTCAGGATATACTGGCAAGTAAGGCACACATAGTTACCCCACACAGGGTGAAGCCATGGGCATACATAGAAGATAAGGAGGCAAGAGCCAAGGATGGAGTTCTAAAATACTAGTTAAGAAGTGGATGAAGACAGTATTGTTCTCACAGGAAGTTTGAAAAGTAATATTCATAGAAGAGGAGAACCAGAACTCGATAGTGTCCTCAAAACCAGGAGGGAACCATTTTAAGCATTTTAAGATTCCCCACAGGAGTCTGTGGGGGCACGGGTTCATGTGTAAGAAGGATTAGGATGCCCGTGGAACATATTCCCCCCAAAAGGATATTTGTCATACTGACCCGATTCTAAATATGAATAAACAAACAACTGTAGGACATATTCTAGATATGTACCAATAGATGATCAGGGAAGTCATTTGCAGGAGGATATATTTTGTGTGTCTTTCCTTGACTTTTGAAAAAAATCACACAAGCCTACCTTTTATCTCTGGCTAATGAACTATGCTAACATGAGAACAAGCATAATATTTATTTCAAGGTTGTTCTTCATCAGGGAACTATATCTCAAACTGGAAAAACTTCAGGGGAGGTCTTTAGGCACCCCTGAAGTTACAATTGTAGGTGCTTCATTGATTTGGGCTGCTCTAGCTCTCCCTATCCCCTGACATGGTGCACACAGGTAAGGCCCCAATCCTCTCTGTGGTAAACCCCTGGGGTCACTCACACCAGGAATCAATACAGGAGCAGTGAATGGGGCAGCCACAAGCTAGCATCTACTCACCTGGGATCCTGGGCTGGCTCAGGTTGTACCTCTGCATTGCCCTGGGGTGCTGCCTCTGGGGAGGGGGAATTACTCTGGACTCGTGATGCCCCCTTTCTTGGCACAAGCTTCATAATTAATGATTCCCACTCTCTCCATTAACATCTGTTTCACTTCTGCCCCTCTCTTTCCGCTCAGTCTGTCCCACCTTCCTCACTGTCTTTGAACCCCAACACTAGATTAAGGAGCTGAGCAAACGTAGCTTGAATTGAATCAATGAAACATAAGGACCCTGGTTCCTGGGTAAAGGTCAGTCTTAAATCAGGATGTCATTTTGCCAATTGCTCCATGCTTAAGTCAGTGTGTGTGTGTGTTTGGGGAGAATGGACTGGGGAGGCGGGAGGGGCAGTCGATTGAGAGGGGGCACATCCACCCACTGGTTCAGGCCCATAAGCCACACAAGACCCAGCCAAGGAATCCACAGATCAAAAATTTCGTCTGAGTGGGAAAAGCCCATGGGGAGGACATCATGGAATGTGCACTGTAAGTGAGATGCATGGCAAGGGGTGACAGACAGCCTCGGGAGGGTGAACGGGCCTCTATTTTTTTATCCAGAGAAAAGTGAATAAAGTACCCCACTAAAGAGTCTCAGGACCTCTTTATCCCAGGTCTTACAAAAAGTTCTAAATTCCTCAAGCCTCCTGCGATCCACTCCCTCAACCGCCAGTGTTTGGGGGGCGGGCATGCCAAGAGGAGCGCCGGCCTCAGCCCCACCATGTCGTAACCATACTCCAGTCTTGAGGCTCCCGGGGCGTTAGTGGGAGGCGGGAAGCCAAGTGGGGTTGTCGGCCTCCTCCCGAGGCCTCGCCCCGCCTGCGCCAGGCTCCGCCTCCAGCGCGCCCCGGCGGGCTCAGGTCGCTGCTGCGGCCGGCTCCGGGTAGCCCGGCACCCCAATCAGCAAGTTGTGCAGCGTCGCGCGCTCCATCTGGCCCAGCCATGGACCGGAAGGTGGCCCGAGAATTTCGGCACAAGGTCAGAGCCGCTAGGGGCCCCTTAGCACCCAGGAACTCAGAATCCCCGGGGAGTGCATGGGGTATAGACAATCCTGGGGACACCCTCCCTTTTCCGGCTGATCTGAGAGCTCTGGGCTGGGACTGGGAGGATTGGGGGTCATTTGGTAGCCAGCAGGGATCCCCAGTAAAATGAGGAGGGGGTGCTGGGACTGATCCAGGTGTGGGGACCACCTAACTGATCCTGAAAGTGTCCTTTCTCCTCTGCCCTCCAGGGGCTGGGACTTCTCTGGGCTTGGAATCCCAGCTCAAGACAGGGACTCTTCTCTGAGATGCCCCATAGTGGCGAGTCCTCCTTCTCCCCCCACTTAGCATCCCCTCCTTTCTCAGCGTGCTGGAGCATGTGAGGGTGCAGGGGCAATATCCAGAGGTGAGGACTGGCAGGAAGGGGAACTGGATTTCTGTGTGTATGTGTGTCCTTTGACCTCCAAACATAAGTCAGAAATGCTCTGGGGAGCTCCCTTCCTGCTTGAGGTATTTATTAGGGTCTGAGAAGCAACTGTTTAACCAGTGGGCAGCGGGACGAGGGGAGGAGGGGCAGGCAGCTAGATCCTTCAGGCAGAGACACATCTCTGCTGGTGTGTCCCAGAGAGAGGCTTCCTTGGTGGTTCCTGATCCTCCGAAACCACCATTGAAAGCTGGGGATTTCACCCCAGGACATTTCCAGAATTGTTTCCAGAGCTGTGCAGGTGCCACTGAGGCCCTAAGACAGAGAAGACCTTTCAAGGGGATGTGGTGTGGACCTCCCCATGCCTCACAACCCAAGGTGAAGCCCAGGGTGGGGTCGGGGCTCCTGGAGCTACCCTCAGGCCCTGCCAGAGTGGCTGTGTGCCCTGTCGCCTTCCCACAGACAGGAAATCCCTTCCAGTGCCTAAGGGAACAGAGCTCAGACTCCCCACCCAGAGGCCCAAGGAAGCCAGGGGAGTCAGCCAGCATGAAAGTCACAGAGGATAAAGGCCAAGAGGCCTAGAGTCAGTCATTCATATAATAAACATGTTTTGCATACTCACCATGCCAGTCAGTGCCCTCACATTGCTAGTTCTGTGGGAGGCCATCCCAATACTAATAATTACCAAGCTGGGATAAAGGTTTGGTGGCAGCCCAAAGGAGGCAACTGTACTAACAAAGGTATCCCTGCAAAATGGGGCCTTGGATGTCCCAGAGGTAACAGGTGGCTGGAAGTACAGCAGGAGTTGGGGGTTGGTGAATAGCAAAGGGCGTATGAGAGAGTGTTCACCAGGGCATCCTATTGCAAAGGAACATGAGGGGAGAAATTTCAGCCTCTGAAGACATTTGGTGAGTGTAGATTTCAGACAATTCACTTTGAAGGAGCACAACACCCCAGCCCCCACCACAGAACTCTGGCTTGGATTACATTTTCCTGCCCTTGAGCTGAAAGTAAGGCCAGGTCCTATTTTTTTCTCTCTCTGGGATACTACTTTTCCCTCTTTTAAGAGAATTACTTCTGGGGTCCCTGGTATCAAAATGGGCCCCTGAACATTCCTCAGGCTCCACAGACAGCCCAGGACCTCAGGCCTCTGTGTTTCCACTGCCCTGTTCTTCCTCATCTCAAGAGTCATTACCTATTAATGCCCCTGTGCATGCAGGTGGGGCAGGCGCCTGGGCTGGGCAAGGCCTGGGCTGGACTTTGTGCCCTGCTGTTTCCAAGGCACCAGCAGCCTTTTCTTCCCAGGTTGGAGGTCATCCGGAACTGTGAGAGAGGATGAAGCAGCAGAGACTAGAGATGGGGGCACACTAGTACACTGGGTGAAACTTACACCTTGCTGTTGATTATTCTCTAGAAGTTTCTTCTGTAGTGCTTCAGAATAAATTTACTGCTTGGGAGAGGTCTAGCACCTAAATCTTGAGTTGTTGGAGGAGGCACTAAAGGTAGTCTGTTCTTATAAAAAGTGCTGTGTGACCTTGAATAAGTTATTAGCCTCTCTGTGCCTTGGCTAATTTGTTAAATGAGATGACAGTACTATTTAACTAGTATGTATATTATACATGCTTAGATGGGATCTACACATATTTAGGAAGCTTAAGTAGGTCCTGGCATTTAGTGAGTACTCAGTTGATATCTACTACTGTCTATTATCTGAAGTTATACAGTAACATTTACCTAGTATGTGAACTAGAACTCAGGTCAAATCTCAACCTTGTCACTCACTGCCATTGAGACCTTGAACAACCACTTAATCTTTCTGAGCTTTGGGTTCCTCAGCTATTAGGTGAGGTCCGTAGTTGCTTTCCTTATGGACAAGCTAGCATTAAACAGGAATTCTCTGTCATATGATACTGTTCCCATCTGGAGTGTATTCCTCTGGGTTTGTCCAGGTACCTAAGGCCACCAGAGCATTTGCCTGCTCTTCCTGGTCATAGTCTTGGGGCAGGATACCAAGGGGTGGGAAGGGGACATCAGAGACCAAGGATTCTCCCCCAGAGAACCAGCTTTTCGAAAGAAGCCTGCCCTTCTGCTTACTATACCTGCATGTTGCAGAAACTTGGTTACTCATTTGCTCAAAAAGTATTTATTGCTTGTTCAGTAATCTTGCATTTATAGGTATCCGTAGTGTACCCTGCCCAAAGCCAGACATCTGGGTGGAATACAATAAATAAGATCAGAAATAACCCTTGCCTTCTAGGGATTTGCTAGTCATTCATTCATTCATTCATGCAATAAATACTGACAGCTCCTAATATATACCAGCAGCCCTGTAATCATTGAATGAGAAGACAAAGTCCCTGCCCTCTTAATGAGCACATTCTAGTAGGGAAGACAGACAGTTAACAAGTAAGCCAATAGACGTATCATGTAATGCCAGGTAGTAATAACCACTATAAAAAATAAACTGGCTTGGGGGTTTAGAGGGTAACAAGTCTTTAGGGTAGGAAGGTCTCTCTGAGGGGCTCTTTGAGTAGAGGTCTGGAAGAAGTGAGGGAAGGAAGCACAGGGATATATGTGCAAGAACATTCCAAAAGAGGGAACAGCAAGTGCAAAGGCCCTGAGGCAAGCACATACTCGCCTTCTTTAAAAATAGCACATAAGATGGTGGTTCTGAGAGGAATTATGGAATGGAATGTAGTGGGAGCTCAATCAGAGGGGAACTGGTAGCCATGGTTCAGACTTTGGGTTTATTTCTAAGTGTGATGAGAAACCAGCTGAGTAGCATGATTCATTTACATTTAAAAGGGGTTGCTCTGCACAGCACTGTGGGGCTAGCTGCAGCCTCTGCAGCAGCCCACATGGCGCAGCAGACCTCTCCTGACTCGCCCGCTGCTCCCCTCAGCAGTGTACTTCAGTCAATCTGCCTGTTCTGCTCCCCACTCTGTCTCTGGTAAATCCTCTTACCCCCCGCACCTCTGGCCTGTACCCCAGTTCCTGTATGCGTAAATAAATAAATCTTTAAAAAAAATAAAAGGGGTTGCTCTGACCGAGAGGGACAAGAGCAGAAGGGAACCACAGCTAGGATGCTCCTGCGTAGCCCAGATAGGGGCTGACTAGGTGAGGAGTGGCCTGGGGAAGTGTGTGACTGGATCCATTCATATTAATGGAGAGACCACTTTCTGCAAACTGCTGAAGACAGAATTTATATTCAATTATTCTTAGTTTTATTTAACAAACACTTAGAATGTACTACTTGCTAGGCACAGTTCTAAACAATTAATCATTATTAACTCCATGAATAAGTTTAAAAAATTATTAACTTCTCATTGAAGATCGAAATCCTATGAAATAGATTTTTCTATCCCCATTTTATAGAAGAGGAGACTGTAGCACAGTGGGGTACAGACCCAAATGAGGGAGGAGCTTGCTAACCTTACCCTCTGCTCTCCCCATGTGATGGAGTCACAGGCTGATAAAGAAAACACAATACAGCTTGGTGAGTCCCATGCAGAGGGGGGAGCAAAGTGCCACCCTCTGCCCAGAGAATGACAGGACTGGCTTGGTGAGGGAACCTGAGTATAGGTTTGACCAAGGAGAGCTGACATTTGAGGAGAATCTTACAGCTGGTGCTCACAGAGAGGAAGTACTATTAGTAGCTAACATTTCACACTAACCAGGGTCGAGACAGCAAGCAGGTGGCTTGTCCAACTGGGAAACTGAAGCGAGTTTTTTGAAGGAACCCCTGACTGGGGAGGGCAGGGATAGGTGAACTGCAAGGGGTGGTAACATTGCCCCAGGAGGGGCAGGCAGGAAGCAGCACCCTTAGGAATGTGGGGTGAGGGTGATGTGTCAGGAGGCACTACTGAAAAACCCAAATCCAGCATGGAGGAAGCCAGGAATCAGCACCCCATTCCCTTTGTCCTCAAGTGCTGTCACCTCCCACTGATTGAACACAACTGGAAGCGGAGGACAGGGAGCACAGCAAGGCTTCCTGGGACACAGGGAAGGGTGGAGAAGGCTGGAGAGTGGGTCTGGGGGCAAATGGGAAAGATCCACATTTTAGGGCCCTTCACATTTTGAAGCCCTGGGCACTTTTTTTTTTTTTTAAAGATTTATTTATTTATGCATACAAGAGCTGGGGTGCAGGCCAGAGATGTGGGGGTGAGATGATTCACCAGAGACAGAGTGGGGAACAGAACAGGCAGATGTACTGAAATACACTGCCGAGGGGAGCAGCGGGTGAGACAGGAGAGGTCTGGTGTGCCATGTGGGTCAGCTCCCTGGCTGGGGATCGAACTCGTGCTGCAGTGGTTGCTCATCACTTCATAGCGCTGAGTCTCAACCCCTTGCGCCACCAGGGAGGTCCCAACTGTCTTAAATTTTTTACATATATTCACTCATTTAATCCCCATCACAGACTCCACAGACCTGGGAGGGCAAATGAGCGAGGGGAACAACATGCATTTTTTTAATGTTCTAGCTTTCCTTCTCCTTCCTTGCCCGGGTGCATGCGTGGAGTTGGATTTGCAGGAGTTAAAGGTTGTGTGTGCCTCCCCTGTGTGACTGTCCATATGGAGGGATGCAGGAATATAAGGCTGGAGGGGTCCCAAAGACCAAACCCAGAATTTACCTCCCATGCCCAGACAGAGGACCTGAACCTTGTGAGGTTAGAGGAGCCCCTCCTGCACCCCCTCTTCCATACAGGCTTACAGTGCAGAGCTAGTTGAACATCAGCCAGGGAATGCAGATACTGGACAGAGGACCCAGGTATAAAGGTGGATGGGGCTGGGGGGGAATTGATGTGATAAAGAGGACCCTCCCCACCAATTAGTTCTTTGTAGATGGTGGGCTCCTTTGGCTTTCTGATGAGCTGCACCAAGCTCATCTAGACCCCTGCCCACCCACATCAGTTTCTGTGCTCCTCATCAAGAGGGATCCAAGAAAAGGAGACGCTTTCTAAATCTAGTTGGAGAAAGATGACACTGTCTTGCACACAGTAGGTATTCAATACACGTGTATTAGACAAGTGCAAACAAAAAGCTACACCTGGTAAGTGGAAACCATGCGGCATTTTGATTCAAAGCAGGGGTTTGGGAGCCAATAAGCAAAAGTGGAGTCTCAGCTCTGCCCCATCTCCGAGCCATTAACCTCCACCTTGCTCCCTTACAGTCTTGGGGAAGTCTCTCTCTAAAGAGAGCCAGTATATAATACATGGAGATTCACACCGAGCTGTCCCAGGGAGTAAAATTCGGGGCTCCTGGCACACCAATTCCAGGTGGGATTGAGGTGCTAATAAAACAGTTCCTGACCCTGACCCTGAAGTCCTAGCCATTGACGTCAGTAAAGTCGAAATGATGTAACCTGACTCTCCCTGGGTGGTGGTGGTGGGGGGGTGGTGATGTAGGGACATCAGAAGGGGAAGGAGTGGCCAGGAGGCTGACTAGTGGACAGAAGTCAGAGCCAACCCAGCTTGGGCCAGTACAGGGAGGGTGGACTTGCCCCTGGCACTGGTGACACAGAACTCCGTGGTGGGGTACTTCCGGCAGGTGGGATGTGCTATTTGAGTGAGTGGCCCAAATCCTTTCTGAAATCATTTATCCAGCACTACAGCCACCACCAGGTAAGACGATGGGTTTCTTCCAGACCAGGGAACTGAACTGACACTGGCATTGTTTCCCCGGCAAGGGTGACAGAGCCACAGGGTGAGCGGCAGCATAGCTGTCGTGGGGGCACATCATTGTCATGTAGGGATTCACGTGTATGCATGTGTGGGTGTATCCCTGTGTGCACAGTGATTAGCACCTGGGGACGGGGTCAGCCTGGCCACATCCGGACGTGCAGCGGTACTCCTGCAGCCACAGGGCCAGCCTGGCCTCTGCCTTCCCTGCTCTCCTCACCACCCCGCACCTGAGGAGATGCTGAGGAGGTCTCCGTAGGGGCCTCCCCCTCCCTGGGGCCTGCTATGGGATGTTTGGCCTGGAGCTGTAATTCTGTCTTTGGGCTTTCCAGGTGGATTTTCTGATTGAAAATGACGCCGAGAAGGACTATTTCTATGATGTGCTGCGCATGTACCACCAGTAAGTGTCCTGGGTCCAGCTCTGAAGATCACCCCTCTGTTTTCAGGGAACCCTGGGGTGGGTTGTTCTGAGACAGGAGGGACCTCCCCTTCCATTAGGGGTGCTCAGGCTTCTGGGAATCAAATGGACATGCCATTAACTTGTCTCAGCAGATATTTATGCACATACTCTGTGCTAGGGACAGGGGTACATGTGAGAGCATGACAGGCTGGTGGCTGCCCTCACATTGTTCACAGTCCTCTGGGGGAGGTTTCAAGTAGCTAGAGAGATTCAAGAGAATGCAATGACTATGATAGGACGGGGAATGCTAGCTGCCCCAGCTCCAGCGCCGGGTGTCTCTTAGCACCCACCTTCTTATGACTCACTCAGTGCTTATTTATGAACCCTGTCCCTCTCCTTGGCACCAGGCAGCATCTAAAAATGCACAAGATCAACTTTCTTTTCTCCACTAACTCAAGGCCTCATCATGAGAGATGGACAGACACTACAAACTCAAAATACTCCAAGTTATTCCAAAATAAGTAGATGAAAAAGTAGGAATGTAAAGAAAGAAGTTTTCAACTCTAATGGCAGAGGGAGAACCAAGAAGGCCTGAGCTAGGTTTTGAAGGGTAAGAAGGATTTTGGCAGGTGGAAATATCAGGGAAGGCCATTGGAGGATGAGGGAGCAATACAGTCAGGATGTGGAGACATGAGCCACATGCTCTTGGAGAGCAGCGCGTGGGGCATACAGGGACCATATGCAGCCACCAGCCTGGAGCAGTTCCATGGAACCCGTTCGGTCATAGAGGCCCCGAGTCTGCCCAGGAGAATGACTTGTGTCCTCTGGGAAGTGGAGGCCTTTGAAGGGTTTTGAGAAATGGGTGACTTATGTTTAGGAAAGATTAGGTGAGAGTGAGCAAGTTGGCAGGCAGCTGGAGAAGTGTGAGGAGGGGCATGGGAACGATATGGTGAGGGCAGAATTTACAAAGCTTTGCTGTAGGTCAGAAGTGGGAGGCAAGGGAGTGAGAGGGGTCACAGCATCTCACACAGTTTTCTCATCTGGAAAGATCTTGGGCTTCAGACTTAAGGAGAGCCGAGTTTGTATCCTGGCTGGATTTTATTAGCAAAATGGATTAGCACTCCTATTAACAATCCCAACCTCACTGCTTTCCTTATGATATTTATATGAAAGAAAAAAAAAACTCCTCCAAGGTCCATGGTCCAGAGTTTTGGATTACGGGCTTTTCAGGAGTGTCCTCCTCAATTCCAAGGCCTCAGTCCAGTGTGTGGGGACCCAGATCAGGACTTCTTTTGGGAGTCCTCAGGTCACAGGGGTGATGGTTATGGGTGCCCCTCATCTCTGCAGGACCATGGACGTGGCCGTGTTTGTGGGAGACTTGAAGCTGGTTATCAATGAGCCCAACCGCCTGCCCCTCTTTGACGCTATCAGGCCCCTGATCCCGCTGAAGCACCAGGTGGAATACGATCAACTGACCCCCCGGCGCTCCAGGTGCAGAAGGAGGCTAGAGGCGGGTGGGAGAGGTCAGCTTGGGAAGGACAGGGCTGTTCACTAGTGGATGGAACATCACCTACCTTTTCTACCATGGCAGAAAGCTGAAGGAGGTACGTTTAGATCGTCTGCACCCCGAAGGCCTGGGCCTCAGCGTGCGTGGTGGTCTCGAGTTCGGCTGTGGGCTCTTCATATCCCACCTCATCAAGGGAGGTCAGGCAGACAACGTCGGGCTCCAGGTGAGCAAGCAGAGTCTGGAGTCCTGGGTAGGGATGGCGGTGGGGGCAAGGGCTGAGGGCTGGGGTGTCAGCTGGGCCTCTGGCTTCCTGCCTCCACCCTCTACTCACTGGGAGTTTTACCGTCCCCCTGTTTCTCAGGTTTATAAATTTATTGCCCTTTCTTGGGCTGGCAGGCTGTGTGGTATAACATGTCCACTCACCCTTCTGAGCCTTTGGGAGAGGAAAAAACTGACTTATCCTGACAGATTTTCCTTTGGTCCGTAGAAATCAGAGATCAGACTGCTGTAAATTGCCTGTTTTCTTGGGTCCAAATGGGAAAGGAACTCCCAGCTGCTGCTGTTACTGCACATCTCCCCACATCCCCTACTAATCATAGGGACAGCATAGTTATATCCTGGCACCTGAAGCATTGGACATGAAGTCTTTTGCTGGAAGAGGAAAGAAAAATCTCATTGTAGTGTGCTGCTTCAGGGCATAGACTCCAGAGCCCATGTGTCCCAGTTTTACTATACAACAGCTGTGTGACTTTGGTGAAGTTACTTAGACCCATGCCTCAGTTTCCTCATCTGGAAAATGGGTATGATGATAATAGTGCCTACTCATCAGGTTGCTATGAAGAATAAATGAATTCATAATATAAAATACTTGTGACAATGCCTGGCACATTAGTGGTCTGTGTTTAAGTAAACAGAGAGGGAGAGCTAATAAATACCTATAATGTGCCAGGTAACCTGTTCACAACCAGGATTGTTGTTTTCCTTTTGTGCCCAAATGCTCTATTTCACAGAGATGACAGTGGCTCAGAGACTTCACTAAGAGTCTCAGCCACTAAATGACAGAGCCAGGATTTGAACTCAGGTCCTCCGACTGCCAAGCTCAAGGCAGCTTTCAGCACCGCAGGTGCTTCTCTCTTGGGGTCCGCACACCTCAGTGTTTGAGCAGAGATGGGCAGACATACAGGTCTCACTCCTGCTAGAGCCCAGAGTTGTGTTTTTAATATCCAGATAAAAGAGGCCTTTCTTACCAATCCACCCAACCCACCCCCCTCCCAGCACCTGCGGCACATTTGTTATCAACATCCCGATCCAGGCTGCCAAGCCAGGATCTTCAGGGGGCCTGAAAGCTAATGTACAAGACACCATGGGCCGGGAGGTGGAAACCGGGAGCTGACAGACATGGCTTTGTTCTAAATCCCTGTCTCACGGCTCACTAGTGGCATCTGAAATTTCAGCCCCTTCATTATTCCTCTCCTAGCGGCACATTTTCCAGCCCAGAAATGCAGCCAGAGAAAAACATAATGAGCTCCTCTTGTGGTGTCACTGAGGCCCTTTTTTCCAGGGTGAGCTCGCCTCCTCCGACAAGCATTTCTCAACAATGCCTCAATGATGGGGAACACCAGGGCATTTTAATGCAACTTAGAGTTTTACCTTTCTGCCTGTTTCTTGGGGTTATGAATTATTGACCCTTTCTTGCCCCAACGAGCTCATCTCTCCTTTGTGCCTCTGACCCTCAGATCACCATTACACAGTGGCCCTTGCATAAAGGACCTTTTACAGGGCTCCATGGAGGAGCCAGAGAGAAAGGAAAGTTGATCCTGCAACCCGAGCCAGGGACTGCGTGGGAAGTACTGTGACTGCAGGCCCCAGCGTGTTCCCTTTAGGAACTAGACAGGGAACTTCTCTCAGAGGAGGCTGGGGAAATGTCTGCATCCATTGACCTCACTGGGGTTGGGTTTCTGGGGACATCTCATGCTTGAGAGTAGCTGGGAGAAGATTCTGGCAGGCAGAGGAGGGGCATGTTCAAACACAGCCTGATTGGACTGAAGATCCTACTGATTTTGCCTGTGAGACTGGGTCCCAGTTGTGGGGCTTGCACCCACCACCCAGGCCCTAGCTCTGGAACCCCATCTTTCAGCTCATGGCCCCTGCTGGAGATATTTTAGAGTTTTTTCAAGTGTCCAGTCTGAACCTGCATCCTCTGCCCTACACAAGGCAGCCTGTGCTACCAACTTGCTGTATAGTACAGGGCTAGAGAATGCATCTGAGCCTTGGCTGGTCCCAGATGTAAAATGGACAAAATAAGCCCTGCCTTTCCTAGAGAGCCTGAGAAACATGAGGGAACTTGAGGAATCTAGCAGGTGGCTAGGATCCAGAAGGAGCAGGGCAAGGAACTGAAACCAGCTTGGTCAGGCGCCCTTTTCTGCTTCCAGAAACCCAGCAGACAACACTCGTTTGTTAGAAAGACCTGACTTCAAATCCCAACATTGTGGGGTAACCTCAAACAAGTTGCCTCACCTCTCTGAACTTCAGCCTCCTCATCTGATTAACAGAGATGCAGGATTGTTGTGAAGTGGGTGAAAGCAGCTAGTCTAAGCTGTTCTCCCCAGAAACCTAGAGAACTTTTAGCAAACCCCTCCCCATGGCACCTTTTTGAGCCTCTCGACACTCCATCAGGCCCTGAAAAGAGTATGGTCTGTATCCAAGTGCAGAAGGGAGGTATTCAGGTGGCAATACTAAGAAGGGACTCCAGGGAAGTGTTAAAAAGGATTGGAGTCAACCTAGAGAATCCCTCAGAGGCTGTGTGCCCTGAGCTCCAACCTAGATCCCACAGAGTCAAAGTGTATCCCCTACATGTACCAAAAGGTCAGCACATGTGGTGTGTGTGAGCTAAGCCCCCAACTGTCCTGCACTGGTCTCAGACTGGAGGGGGCATCCAGGAGCCAGTGCCTGTTTTGCAGCTCACACTTGTGTGACCTGGACAGAACATCACCACTCTGTGCCTCTGTTTCGATTACTGTCAGGTGTCTCTGCAGCCCTACAGTTACTCAGTGAGGAGCTTCAGGTGCTTGGAGGAGCCCATGGCAGTGTCCAGCAGGGGGCAATCTCACCATTGCATTCTATCCAGGACTGGCCTGCCAGCTGGTCCTCCAGCACTCTCCCTATGCCCAAGTCTAGCTATCTAGTGGGCCCAAGTCCTGAGAAGAGGAATCTGACCAGAGTATTTAGGGTGCAGGCGCAAATGTGATGGCAGTCATTTATTGATTAATTACTGCAAGCCAGGTGCTGGCCAACTTTATATTTATGCACTAATTTAATTCTCAGGGCAATCACTGTCTTTCCCCATTTCACAAAAACTGAGGTTCAGCAAGCTCAATAGACTTGCCTAATGTCATGCAGCTAATAAGAATAAAAGCAGGGGTTTGAACCCAGGGCATCTGCTCACTACACCATGTGTGTGTTTGCTGTGTTTTGCTTACTCTCAGAATAGTCATTCAGAGCTCATGGCTATGGCAGAATGAAAATGTACATCACATTTCCATTAAGTTGTAAAAAAGAGAATTTGGGGTTGAGGGTAAGGGGATAGGAGTGATGTAAGCTTAAGTCGGGAATCAAGGAAGTGCCCCACCCCAACTCAGTTATGGTGCTGCCGTGATTAACAGAGGGGGGAGGGTGGCGCGGGCCCTGCCTGCTGGGGTGGAGTGGGACAAAGGTCAGGAAGAATCTGCTTGAATCAGGGTGAAGGGTCACCCTTTCCATGGATTCCAAAACCTGACAGTACCCCAATAGGGTGCTAGGCAGACTGGATTAAGGGTACAGAGTCCTGAGTTGTCGTCCCAGCTCTGCTACCTACACTCTGTGCCCCTTCCCCCATCTCGATTTCCCTACCTGTAAATGGGACAGAACGACTGCGTGGAAGTGCCACTTGCCCTTGGAGGCCCCGGGCTGGTGGAGGTTGGGTTGGTTATGAGGACATATTCTTCTGAAGGAAGATATGGCCATCATCTCCTTTGCTGGAAAACAGGCCTGGAGCCTCTGGCAGTGAGTCTGTCCAGCTGCCTGATGCTCCCTCAACCTGCTGTTCATTCCTTCTGTCCATGGCCAAGGTAGGGGACGAGATTGTTCGGATCAATGGATATTCCATCTCCTCCTGCACCCACGAGGAGGTCATCAACCTCATTCGCACCAAGAAGACTGTGTCCATCAAAGTGAGACGTGAGTGAGGCCAGAGGACAGGGTGTCACTGGTGATGGGGTGAGGTAGGCGATGGGGTACCCAGCACCTCGGGAAGGAAGAGAGAGCAGAGGACTATACTAACCTCTATGCCTTTCTCTTGCAGACATCGGCCTGATCCCTGTGAAGAGGTGAGCAGGACCCTCCTCTGTAGACAGACCTCCCTGTGGGCATCCTGGGAACAGCCCTGGAGTCTGACCAGAACTGCCTCTGGACCATGGCAGACCATGAGAGACTGAAGACTCCAGGAAGGGTAGATCTGGCTTTAGGGACTATTCCAAACATTTCTCCCTAATAACCCCACTTTTACTTTCTCTTCCCTTCAGCTCTCCGGATGAGCCCCTCAAATGGCAGTATGTGGATCAGTTTGTGTCAGAATCTGGGGTAAGGGCTAGCACCACCTCTGATGGGATCTAGATGGGATAGTCTCCAAGAAAGGGCAGCTGGTCCTAAAGGGAGGTCTTGCTAGGTATGTGACTTTAAGGACTCCACCCAGGCCCCGAGGGCATGTAGAATGCCCCCATGGGCAGTGGGTATACAGCCAGCCCAACTGGTGCAGACAACCTCCCCAGTAACAGAAAGGCAGTCGGACTCATGTGGAAGCAGCAGTGCCCACCATGAAGACCTTATGGGCCCAAGAGGCCACTTGTACACATATGGACACCCACTAACTCTTATCCTATCCCTCCTCCAGGGCGGGCGGAACAGCCTGGGCTCCCCTGGGAGTCGGGAAAACAAGGAGAAGAAGGTCTTCATCAGCCTGGTGGGCTCCCGAGGCCTCGGCTGCAGGTGGGTGGCAGGCACACCCTAGAACTCACTCATGGCCAGTAAGCCCAGTGGGTGTCTACCCTCTCCACTTTCTCGCTGCTGTTTCTGAGGAGACTTTTATCCCCTGTAGATGATACTTCTTGGTGCCTTGTTTCCTTTTTGAGCTTCACAACAGCCCTGTAGGGCCAGGACAGCTCTAATAGTTTCCATTTTACAGAAGAAATTGAGGCCCCAAAACAGAGCCATGATCCTTTGGTGAGTCCTTGAGTCACTGTAAAAGAAAACTGTCCACTTGGTCATCTGTCACAGTTCCCTGGTCACTTATTACCTTATGAACTTCCTTAAGAGGCAACCAAGGGGACCAGCCCCAGCACACAGCCCCGGCCGCCCGGTAAGCTTGCGCGGAAAGTGGCGCGGATCCAGACCGGATCGCAGCTGCCCAGGTCCCCGCGCCTGCGACCTAGGCTTGCGGGGAGACGGCGGAGGCCCTCCCTGAGTGAGCAGGAACAAGGCGCCCAGGCAGGGGAGCGGGATTCAAAAGGCGCCATTCCCGCGCCACTGATCTGGGCTACAGCCCGCGTCCTGGAACTGAGGGCTGTGGAACTGAGACCCGGGGCACGAAATTAGGGGCGTGGGTTTCCCACGACGGTGGGGCACAAGGCAGACACAGCACCCCAAAGCCGTTGAGGTGTACCCTACCATCCCCGCTCTGCTCCCTGTCCCACGGGGTGGAAAATCAGCTCCCCAAGGGCTCTAGGAGAGATCTCTGGCGCCACCTAGCGACTTGACCCCAGCACAGGCTACTGAAGGAGCTAGTGGCCAGCTGGGGAGTTAGCCCACACCTGGCTCCTTCCGAACAAGTAGTCTGAGCCCACAGGGAGAGCGAGCACCCACAGCCGGGGCAGACCAGGCGCGCAGAAGAGTGTGCCTGAGACCAGACGCGCAGGGAGTGTGTCCCACATCACCATTTTAGAACAGGGACATTTCTTCAGTAAAGACTACCTGCAGAAGGCTTCCTCAGGAGCCAGAGGTGAGCAGGGGAAGTTCGCCCACGCCAGACCCCCTCTGGCCTGCAGTCCAAGCCCAGAGGGGAGCAGGAACCCACCGCCGGGGCAGACCAGGCGCACAGGGGAGTGTGTCCCCACATCGGCATTTTAGAACAGGGACCTTTCTCCATTAAAGGCTGCTTGAAACTGACAGATGACTCCTGGTAGAACCAGAGGGGAACAGAGAAGCCCACCCAAGATGCCGGCCAGTCCCAACAACACAGTGTCCCAACGCATACGGCAAATTAGAAAACAGACAGTAGGGAGGAGAAGAACCACACGCAACCTAGCAACTCTCCAGAGAAAAAGCACACCACAAAAAGAAAGCCAGCCCCCAGATTGCAAAGACAATAACTTGGAAGAATTTCTGAGCCTTCCAGAAAGAGAATTTAAAATTGCCGTGATTAAAAAACTGACAGAAGTCATAAAGGAAAACAATGATAAGGGAAAAATAATCAACGATCAGAAGAATGCAATTGAGTCCCTAGAGAGGGAAAACAATGGTCAGAAGAAAGAAATTGAGTCCCTAAAGAGGGAAGTAAAAGAAATGCAGGAGATCAAAGAATTAATGGAAGAACTAAAGAATTCTGGGAAAAGCAATGAAAGCAGAATAGATGAAATGGAAGAACGAATAAGTAATCTTGAAGACACAGAAATAAAAAGAACCAAAACAGAAAAGGAAAGAGAAGTACGAAGGAAAAAGAACGAAGAAAGACTTCGGGAACTATCTGACTCCATGAGGAAAGGAAATATAAGAGTTATAGGAATACCAGAAGGAGAGGAGAGAGATGTAGGAACAGAGAAAATATTCAAAGAGATAATTGAAGAGAACTTCCCAAATGTGAAGAAGGAGCTGAAAATTGATATACAAGAAGCAAGAAGAACACCAAACTTCCACGACGAAAGGAAAAATACAGCAAGACACATAATAGTAAAGCTCCCAAGAATCCAGGACAAGGAAAAAATAATGAAGCTGGCAAGAGGGAAGAAACAGATAACATTCAAAGGAAAACCAATCAGGCTGACATCAGACTTCTCCGAAGAAACACTACGGGCAAGGAGAGAGTGGAGGGACATAGCCAACAGACTCCAAGAAAACAGATGCCAACCAAGAATACTCTATCCCGCAAAGCTCTCCTTCCTCTTTGAAGAAAGAATATGGACCTTCCCAGACAAACAGAAACTCTGGAATTTCATTGCAACTAAACCCCCACTCCAAAAAATACTACAAGGAGTCCTAAAGCCAGAACCTCAGAGGGACGAATAACAATGAAAGAAGGCCAAAAAAAAAAAAAAAGTTATTAAAAGAATAAATAAATAAAATCAAAGGAAAGACAAACACAATGGCAAATACAGATGTTAACATATCAATATTAACTCTAAATGTAAATGGACTAAACTCTTCAATAAAAAGACACAGAGTGGCAGCCTGGATTAAGAAACAAAACCCAACCTTTTGTTGTCTCCAGGAAACACATTTAGCTACAAAAGATAAAAATAGGCTCAAAGTTAAAGGATGGAAAACAATCCTACAAGCAAATGGACCAAAAAAGAAAGCAGGAACAGCTATACTTATATCAGATAAAACAGATTTCAAACTCAAAAAGATAAAAAGAGACCCCAATGGTCACTACATTATGATCAAGGGGACAATACTTCAAGAAGAAATAACACTCATTAACATATACTCACCAAACGAAGGAGCACCAAAATATATCAGACAACTGTTGTCCTCTCTGAAAACAGACATCAGAGAAAACACATACGTAGTGGGAGACTTCAACACACCACTATCAACAATGGATAGATCAACAAGACAAAAAATAAGTAAAGAAACCAAAGCTCTAAATAAGGACCTAGAGCAATTAGGCTTAACAGACATCTATAGAACACTAAACCCCAAAAAAACGGAGTACACATTTTTCTCAAGCGCACACGGATCATTCTCCAGGATCGATCACATACTGGGGCACAAGACAAACATCAACAGATACACCAAGATTGAAATCATATCAACCATCTTTTCTGACCATGAAGGCATCAAACTAGAAATAAACCATAAAAAGAAGGCAAGGAACTTTCCTACCTCATGGAGATTAAAAACCACACTACTGGAAGACCATTGGACTAATGAGGAGATCAAAGAAGAAATTAAAAAATTTTTTGAATTGAACGACAAGGAAGACACTAATATCCTAAATGTATGGGATGCAGCAAAAGCAGTAATAAGAGGAAAATATATAGCAATAGAAGCTCACATCAAGAAACAAGAAAGAACGCAAAGAAACAACCTCATCTCGAAGCTCAAAGATCTAGAAAAAGAACAACAAAAAAACCCCAAAACCAGTAGAAGAAAAGAAATAATAAAAACCAAAGCAGAAATAAATGAAATTGAAACTAAAAAAACAATCCAAAAGATCAATGAAACCAAGAGCTGGTTTTTTGAAAAAATCAATAAAATAGACAAACCCCTAGCCAGGCTCACAAAGGAAAAAAGGGAGAAAGCACAAATAAACAGGATCATCAATGAAAGAGGAGAAATCACAACGGACACAGCAGAAATCAAAAGAATAATCAGTAACTACTATGAACAGTTATATGGAAACAAGTTTAACAATCTAGAGGAGATGGACAAATTCCTACAACTCTACAATCACCCAAAGCTAGATAAAGAAGAAATAGAACAACTAAACAGACCAATTACAATTAGCGAAATTGAAATGGTAATAAAAAACCTCCCCAAAAACAAAAGCCCAGGACCTGATGGATTTACAAATGAATTCTACCAAACATTCAGAGACGAATTAGTGCCTATCCTTCACAAACTCTTCCAAAAAATTGAGAAGGAAGGGACAATACCAAACACGTTTTATGAAGCCAACATTACACTAATACCAAAACCGAACAAGGACAACACAAAAAAGGAAAACTACAGGCCAATCTCCCTAATGAACACTGATGCAAAAATCCTCAATAAAATTTTAGCTATCAGAATCCAACAATGTATCCATAAGATAATTCACCACGACCAAGTTGGATTCATTCCAGGGGCACAAGGATGGTTTAACATCCGAAAATCAATCAACGTTATCCAACACATCAACAAAAAGAAATATAAAAACCATATGATAATATCAATAGATGCTGAGAAAGCTTTCGACAAAGTGCAACACCCATTCATGATAAAAGCCCTTGAAATTCTTGGGATACAAGGAACATACCTCAACATCATAAAGGCCATCTATGACAAGCCAACAGCCAGTATCATTCTCAATGGTGAAAAGCTGAAAGCAATTCCATTAAGATCTGGAACAAGACAAGGATGTCCACTCTCACCATTGCTTTTCAATATAATACTGGAAGTCCTAGCCAGGGCAATAAGACAAGAGAAAGACATCCAAGGAATCCAAATAGGAAAAGAAGAAGTCAAACTATCACTATTTGCAGACGATATGATATTATACATAGAGAACCCCAAAAACTCCACAGAAAAGCTAATTCAACTCATCAATCAGTTCAGTAAAGTGGCAGGATACAAAATCAACACGCAAAAGTCAGTAGCCTTCCTATACACAAACAATAAATCTGAAGAAGAAGAAATCAAAAAGACCATCCCTTTTGTTATTGAAACAAAAAAAATCAAATATTTGGGAATAAATCTAACAAAAGAGGTAAAGGACCTATACAAAGAAAACTATAAAACACTGTTAAAAGAAATAGAAGAAGACACAAAGAAATGGAGAGACATCCCCTGCTCATGGATTGGAAGAATAAACATTATTAAAATGGCCATCCTACCAAAAGCAATATACAGATTCAATGCTATTCCAATCAAAATTTCAATGTCATTCTTCAAAGAAATAGAACAATTATTGATGAAATTCATATGGAATCACCAAAAACCCCGAATAGCCAAAGCTCTCCTGAAAAAAAAAGAAGGGAATGGAGGCATCAGACTCCCAGACTTCAAACTATACTACAAAGCCATAATCATCAAAACTGCATGGTATTGGAACAAGAACAGACATACAGACCAATGGAATCGAATAGAAAATCCAGAAATAAACCCACAGATTTATGGTCAACTAATCTTTGACAAAGGAGCAAAGACTATGCATTGGAGCAAAGAAAGTTTGTTCAATAAGTGGTGCTGGGAAAACTGGGTCGCTACATGCAAAAGAATGAAGCTTGACCACCACCTCACACCATACACAAAAATCAACTCAAAATGGATTAAAGAACTAGACATAAGACCTGAAACCATAAAATATATAGAAGGAAATATAGGCGAAACACTACGTGATTTGCACATCAAAGACATCTTTACAGACACATCACCCAAAGCAGTGATAGTGAAGGCAAAGATAAACAGCTGGGACTACATCAAATTAAAGAGCTTTTGCACAGCAAAAGAGACAATAACAAAAACAAAGAGAAACCCCACCAACTGGGAGAACATTTTTGCACCCAACACTAATGATAAAGGACTGATCACAAAAATCTGCAAAGAGCTGATGAGACTCAACAACAACAAAGAAAATAATCCAGTCAAAAAATGGGCAGAAGAGCTTAAAAGAAACTTCTCTGAAGAGGAAATGCAAATGGCCAACAGGCATATGAAAAAATGTTCAACATCACTTGTCATCAGGGAAATGCAAATCAAAACTACCATGAGATACCATCTCACACCAGTGAGAATGGCACATATTAAAAAAACTAGCAACAACAAATGTTGGCGAGGGTGTGGAGAAAAAGGAACTCTTCTGCACTGTTGGTGGGAGTGCAAACTGGTCCAACCACTGTGGAAAGCTGTATGGAGATTTCTGGACCTACTAAACATAGAACTTCCATATGATCCAGCAATTCCACTCCTAGGTATTTATCCAAAGGACACAGAAACATCAATTCCAAAGAACACCTGCACCCCTATGTTTATAGCAGCACTGTTTACAATAGCTAAGCTTTGGAAACAACCCAAATGCCCAAAAATAGATGACTGGATCAAGAAGATGTGGTACATATATACCATGGAATATTACTCAGCATTCAAAAAAGATAAACACATGCAATTTGCAGCAACATGGATGGCGCTGGAAGGGATCATGCTCAGCGAAATAAGCCAAAAAGAAAAAGAAAAATACCGGATGGTCTCACTCATAGCAGGAATCTAGAAAACTTAAATAAGGGACCAGGAAAATGAATAACTATAAGAAAGTGAAAATCAAAATCAACAAAAAACTATGAACCAGAGACACTTTTAGGGGGGCGGGGGTGGGAGGGGAGGGATTGGGGTCAGAATGGGGGGGCTGCAATTGTATGGGGAATATAACAATAAAATTTATTAAAAAAAAAAAAAAAAAAAAAAAAAAAAAAAAAAGGCAACCAAGGAATTACAAACAGACTTTGGGTCACAGAGGGCACTCTTGCTAAGCACATAGGTGCTATAGTTACAGATCAAGCTTCTAACGCCTGCTCTGCCATCCATGAGCTCTAGAACCTTGGACTTTAGCACTCTGAGCCCCAGTATCTCCCACTATAAACTGAGGATGATAATAATACCCTTTTAGGTGGGTTTTTGTGGGGAGGGTGAGATGACAGAAGTACCAAGCTTAGTGCCTGGCGGATAGTAAGCACTTGGTACACATTAGCGATTATCATATAAATTCTTATTATTTCCATTCATTCACATTTCTTCACCATTTTTCTGCCAAGTATAAGTGATAAAAGCCCCTCCTTTTGAGGAGATTACAACCTGATATAGAAGCCAACTACCCAGTAACTACAGCATAGAGTGACAAGGACTCCAATGAAGGTGCATTCGGAGTCAGGGATGACAAATAGGTTTCCTATCCTGTACTGTGTCTAATCAGTTAGTAGTGGTTGCTTGAAGTCCTGCTTTGAAAAGAACTCTTAAGACTGTGTCCAGGCTTGGTGGGAAAGTGCTGTGATCAATTAATAATGTCTGCCACAGGTAGTGGTGGGGGGGGCACAGTTACAGTACAAGTGCTCCTTACTCTAGGAGCACTGGAAAGGGAGCAACTCACTTAGTCTTGGGGTAGAATAAGGAGTTTGATGAAAACCTGTAAAGATAGCATTTAAGTCTAAGGGAATAAATAGGAAGGTACTAGAAAGAGAGAAAAAACATCATTTGCGATATATTGGGTGAGGGGATGGTAGGAAGGAATTACAAGTAGTTGTGTGTGGCTATTGCCACAGGGAAATGAGTCTGCGTAGTGAGAAAGTGGAGGGACGTGGGCACTGAGTTCATGGCTGATCTAAATTCAGAGGGGCTATCTGTCACACTGCATATTAGGACATGAGCAAGTGCAGCAAAACAGAGGCTCTTTCATTTCCCACCTCTTCCACAGCATTTCCAGTGGTCCCATCCAGAAGCCTGGCATCTTCATCAGCCATGTGAAGCCTGGCTCCCTGTCTGCAGAAGTGGGCTTGGAGGTAAGTGATCTGGACTGGTCCCACTGGGGCCCCAGTCAAGTGTGGAGTCAGACTGATCACACAGCCCTCTCTTAGAAGTCACTGGCTGATGATTCCCACATTCCCCCTCACCCCAAAGGCTTCACTGACCCTTTCTGTAGTCTACACCAGCTTGAGAGTCTTTGGTCCTAAGTTTTAGAATGTAGTAATAATAATAATCATAATAATCATTGTTTAATGGCTAGACATAGTTCTAAGTCCTTTAAAATGTACAAGAACTCTGAGAATTAGGTAGTATCTTTGTCCTCATTTTATAAATGAGGAAGCCAAGACCTAGGGAAAGCATGTGATTTTTTTCCAAGCTCATGTGCTTAGTATGTTAAGACTGGGATTCAGACCTAGGTGACCTGATGCCAAAATTGAAATTCTTAATCTCTGCCTTGGACAAGTTACTTCCTGTTTCTGTGTGTTTCAGTTTCTCTCCCATAAAACAGGTGTAATAAATATCCTTTTAGAGTCATTGTGTGAATTAAATGAGTTAATGAGTCCTAAGCATACACTTAGGACTGTGCCTGGCACATAGTAAAGGGATCAATAAATATTATCTATTATGACTCAGCACAGCCTCTGCTATATGAAAAGCCCACAGATTTCCGTGTCTACATTCTCTTTTTAAAACAAATATCATAAATTTAACCAAAGAAATGAACCTCTAATGGTGTAATATTAGCAGCTAGTAAACGAGATCTAGGGTGGAGAGGTGGGCTTGAGGTTCTCCCAGAACCCAATCAGAGCTTTCCAACTCTTCTGCTCACTGGGTGGAGTTGAGGTGTAGCCACTTGAAGACCCAGCATCTAAACCCTGGCCCCCAAGAGGGACCCTTCCTGTAGAGGAGCATGTATACAGATAATTCATACTCTCTGATCCCTCTTCATTTCTCCACCAGACAGGAGACCAAATTGTTGAAGTTAATGGCATAGACTTCTCCAACCTGGACCACAAAGAGGTGAGATAGTTTTTACTGTCGGTCATGATCATCTCTGCCCTCCCCTTTCTCCCACCGCCCCCTGCCACAGCATCTTACACTTCCTGTGCTCTCAAGAGGCCGCCATTGCTCTGATCTGCCAGGCCTCACGGACTGTCCACTTGTCCCCACAGGCAGTGAACGTGCTGAAGAGTAGCCGCAGCCTGACCATCTCCATCGTAGCTGGAGCTGTAAGTGCAGAATGAACTGGGGAGGGCTCCATGACCCCTGACCTCCAGTCTCAGTCACTCAGACTCCTGATCTGCATCACACACTGCTGTAAAGGGCCAAGGGGCCTCTGTCCCTGAAGCTCTGACACAGCTGAAGGAGAGGATCCCTACCCAGTCAGGACAAGTTTGGGTCAGAGACAGCAGGAACCACAGTGCCTGACACTGAGGGGCATTGCAATAAGAAGACAGCCTGCACCTTGACTCCCAAGACTGGGGCAGTGGACACCCTAATTCCCCAAGGGACTGAGCATGGGGCCTCTTTTCTCCCCACCAGGGCCGGGAACTGTTCATGACCGAGCGGGAGCGGCTGGCGGAGGTGCGGCAGCGTGAACTGCAGCGGCAGGAGCTTCTGATGCAGAAGCGACTGGCAATGGAGTCCAACAAGATCCTCCAGGAGCAGCAGGAGATGGAGCAGCAGTGAGTGTAACACCCAGGACACTCCTTCCCTGGCCTTCCAAACCACCTGCGGCCCCACCTGACTTGTTTCCTGCCCACTGCTCCCTGGATCCTCCTCATCCTCTGCCCCTGAGGCCTGTCCTCAGGCCAGATAGGTCCAGTGATAGCATATCCACTCCCTGCCTCCAGACCCCTGGGGAGAGAGTCCCTGAGGAGAGGAGAGCTCTGATTTCCAGGAATATGGAAATGAGGATCCTATTAGCAGTGGCTAACATTTGTTGAGTACCGGTCATGTGGCTGGCATGGGCCTTGTGTATATTACTTAATTTAATTTCCATCTGAGAGATAAATGGTATTAACTCATTTTAGAGGTGAGAAGACTGAGCTTCAGAGAGGCTAAGCCACTTGTGTATGAAGTCACAGATGGCCCAGCTGGGATTTACATCCAGGCTGTCTGACTGTCCTTCTATGGTGATAACTGCCTCCCCAACCCCAAACCAGATGGACTCAGAATAAATAGGGTGAGAAATTCGTAAATCAAAAAAACTCCAAGTCCAGATCCAGTCTAAGAGCAGAATTTGGGAAAGGAAGGTGGGAGGATCTATCCATCTCCCCTATCACAGAATTAGCCTGGAGAACTATCCCCTGCATTCCCTCAGCACATAGCTCTGGCCTCAGTGGGTAGCCCCAGCTACCTGGAGTCTGGGGCCCTCCTCCAGAAGGACTTCACTCAGGCCAGACCTTACCTATCACCAGTCACTTTTTCTAAGTGTTTAGCAGTCAAGGAAGCCCACACTGATTTGCCTCCCGGCTCCCACAGTGCAGGCTCTGCTCAGCAGTGTCACACAGAACTACACAGGAGCACAGGGCCCAGATACTGCTGGATCCACCTCCCCAGCATCCAGATCTGGCCCAGGCATCTTTGGAAGGGAACCTGGAATAAATATTAAAAGCTTTTGCAAATCAAGAATTAGCCCTAAGGGGCGGGGGCAGGGAGGGAGGAAGGATTAGGGTCAAAATAAGGGGGGGTGGGAATTGTATGGGGAATATAACCAAAATAAAAATGCATACATTGTGCAAAAATGAAAAATGATGTAAGAATTATATAAAATAAAATATTTTTTAAAAAAGGAATTAGCCATAAGGATTGCTTCTTACATAGATTCCAACCTGCCAATCTGCATTTGTGTTTCAGGAGAAAAAAGGAAATTGCCCAGAAGGCAGCAGAGGAAAATGAGCGATACCGGAAGGAGATTGAACAGTGAGTGACCGGACTGCATGTGTGCACGCTTGTGTCTGTGTAGGTGTGAGTGTGCTCTGGGAGAGTGATGAGCCAGAGGCCTTCCATATCGAGTCACCCTGCCTTCTTGTACCCTGGGGAAACCCCTTTTATTTATTGCCACTCCATAACCTCAGGAAAGCCCATTGTATTAGGGTAGCTAGAACATAGACTTATATAATTGCCAGGGGTATGTGCACACTCTATTAGAATACGAGTACCAGGGGCTTTGTTTTCTTTACCACAGCTGGAACCATGAGGCCTCTCCCCATGCTGGTTGGGGCTCCCTGATAGGCAGAGGGGGGCTCCATTCACAGGTGTGGGAATCTTATTTCAGGATCGTGGAAGAGGAAGAGAAATTTAAGAAGCAGTGGGAAGAAGACTGGCACCCAAAAGAACAGTTGCTCTCATCTAAAACCATCACTGCCGAGGTGCACCCAGTGCCCCTTCGAAAGCCAAAGTGTATGTATCATTTTCTGGGAAAGGAATGACATTTCCTTCTAGAATCTGGAGGTTCTTGACAGAGATGCTAGTCTTCTTGCACTCACCAGCGCCTCCCCAGGTGAGTGGCCCCTGCTCTCTGGGCTGCATTTCTTCATGGAGAGAGAGCCATGTTCCAGGGGTTGTCTGGCCGCCTTGTCCCGGGGGCCTACTGCCAGGCTCTCCCCTACAACATAGACAGGGAGATGGACCCCTCCTGGTGTTTGGGGGTACTGAAGAGGGAATGGAGAGCTATGGCAAAAATGAACTGCTCCTGGGGCTCATGAAATGGCATTAGAAGGAGGGGAAGAGGCTCACATTAAAGAGGACCCTGGTGGGCCAAGGCTGACAGGCAACCGTGGGAAGAGCTTCCCTAGTGCTCCCACCACCAGCATCCTATGAGGTTACATCTCTGCAAGGATTGAGTTGGCAGAAGACTGGGGTCCCCTGTACCCCCCTCCCAGACACTAAACCTTGATCATCCTGCAGCCTCAGCACCCTCTGCTCTTCCCATCTCCTTTCCTCATCTGTCCCGTGTTCTCACTTCTCATGTCAGTCCAGACCTCCATGGCTCCCTTGTCCACAGGCTTTCAACTCCAACTCCCAGGATGGCTTGTCAAAGGGCAAGGCAGAGGGACTTAACCTCAATGCTTCTTCAGTGGGTTAGTGGTGGGCTACCAGGAACAAGGCAGTTTGGGGGCCCTGGCAAAAAACAACCAGGATGCCTAGTTGGGCCTTTACTCCCACTTTACAATTGTTTGATCTGTACTTGACATGAAGCAGGTTCTACTCCAGCTGATTATGCTCAGCTGACCTGGGAACCTCCAGTTATGGGGTTAACCTGCACCCAAGAACCAAGTTTCCCCCCCTCTGTTGTGTGGGATCCTGTGATAGGGTCTAGACAGCTCTGGCCCCATCAGATGATACCCAAGTCCTAAAGGGACATCCAGTTGGGTCAAGGGAGAGGTGCAGGGTATCTAGATGGTTCCATTTTACTCCTCCCCAGTGCAGCGTAAATAGCTCCCAGAACATTCCTTCCTGGTATTAGCCCACAGTGTCACCTGAGGGTTCTCTCAGAAGGACAAAGCATGTTCTCATTAACCTCCCCCATGACATTCTGTATTAGTTGAGAATGTGACCAGAGCTAAATTCCTGGTAATAATAACAGAGAACTAATTTGCTCTTATGAGTGAAATAGGAGCTTCAGAAAGAGAGAAATCGATTTTAATTGCTTCTCCTCTCATGAAACTAATCCTAGTCAATTTAGTACCTTCCTAGAAATTGGTTCTTGTCTTCAGAGCAAACACACTCGCTCAGGAGTGATAGAAAACAAAAACCATTTGTCTACCTAGCTATTTATTTAGTGCTTTTTAAAAGGCAAATCAGGATTTTTGAATAGAAGGAGCAAGAACTTTTGTCTTTGCTTAGGATAAAAATGTTTTCTGAGGGGATGCCAGAAAGCATGAAATTGATGGCTGTTGTCTGCTGGCCTGAACGGAGGCAGCTGTGTTTGTCTCCATCTATCTTCATATACACCAGCAATTTAATGCTAATTTGGAGATAAGTCAGGAAATGCAGTAAGGCCTCTAAGCCAGCTCAATTCCTGCCTCTCTTCCCATTTCTGGGAAGCTGGAATGTTCTGGGCCAGCAGGACCAGACTGAGTCAGCTTTTCCATGGTCACTCTCCAACCTTGGGGCCCAATTACCTGGCAGATTATAGCTGACTCAGGTGTCTGTGCCTGTGAGGGGCGGACCATTCATTTTTGAACAGAAAAGAAAGGTTATAGAGCATCTCTTATCTAGGAAATGGAGCCACTCCTTGTAACAATGAGGGTGGGATCCACTGTCCCCTCACCACCATCCACCTACCCATGGTCGACCCGCAGAACCCCAACATAACACTGAGCTCTCAAGACCAGGACATACTATCACAGAAGCCCCCAGAAGAGTTTTCCTCAGTTAAAACAACAGGGACTAGGGGGGAATGAAATTTTATTATGGATCGCAAAGCTAGAAAGATCCTTGGGAGATGAAGAGGTTTGAACAAGAGATTTCCCTTCTTCTCTCCCCATTAAGAACCCCATCGATAGCCCCTACCCCCAGTAGGCTGGGGTGGTTTGGAAGTTGATTTTTTTCATATCAAACTATTAAGTAATCATTTATGTCCCCATTGTTTTGTTATATTATCCTTGTTAGCAAGAAAACGTCAGTGTCCCACTGTTACACAAACATAAAATGAGCTAAAAGCGAGGGGGTTTAATTTACAGCCTTTCCATAGGTTAATTGTTCATTTGTAATAAATATTTTGAAATATTAGTTAACAACTCACAACCACCTCAAGCACTACCTTCCAGGGTCCCAGGGGACCAAACCACTGTAATGAACAGTTTGCTGTTCTCTCCACATTATGTCAAAATTCATGTCTTCCTAACCACATATGCCCCTTCTAGCCTTTGGGATCGCCTCACCTCCTCAGAATCCCTCACTTTCATCTGCTGCCTACCCCACAGCAGGGAGCTGGAATTCCAAGGGTGATGAGAAGAAGCCAGGACAACATTGCCCTGGCAGGCCCTTGGCATCAAATGTACCTAATACTCAAGATTCCCATCCCTCATACTGCACTACTGAAGTTTCAACCGAGCACCCTACAAAATGGTTCTCACATTGCTGTCAGATCACAGGCCCCTGTTACTTGCCCATTTTATGGAAAGAGAAACTAAAGTGACCAAGATTGAAAGTATGTAGCATCCCAGAGCAAGAAGCCTTTGCCCTCGGCCCTGCACCTTGTTCCTGCCCCTGACCTCACAGCTCCCATGAGGGAAGCTGGCCCCAGGCTCCTGGGAAGGACTCCCCAGGAAGCACCTTGGGCCTCTTGGTCACCCAAGTCTTGGTTCATCAGCGTCCTCTTCTTTCCCTGGGTAGGTAATGAGGGAGTGGCGCAAGAGCTGGCGGACACCCCGAAAGGAGGCGCGAAGGAACAGGGAAAGCAGGTTTGCGGTCCCCCGCTTTGCTCCCTGGCCTTGCTGCTTCACTTGCTCTGCCTTCCTCCTCCTGCCAGCCAAGACACTCAGCTGAGAGGAGGCCAACATGTAGTGGGGACCACAAGAGTCTGTGATGCGCCTCCAAACCTGGCCCAAGCACTGCACCTGTAACTGTGGGAACAGGACTTGGGGCCAGGCAGAAAGGTCAACTGGTGCACAACTGGTTCAAATACTTAAGTCCTGCTCAAGCCCAAGTCCTTCCTCTGCTGCTCTGGCCTCTCCTCGAGAACTCCCTGCAGCGCCCCAAGATCTAGCAACTAAGTGGGTTGTGCTCGGTCCAGTAGGGGGCGCTTTTAAGATCCTATTCCAGAACACCAGCTGGTCAAGGATAGATAATTTTTTTTTTTGAAGATTTATTTATTTATGCATACAAGAGCTGGAGCACAGGCCAGAGGTGCAGGGGTGAGAGGATTCACCAGAGACAGAGTGGGGAGCAGAACAGGCGGATCTACTGTTATACACTGCTGAGGGGAGCAGCGGGGGAGTCAGGAGAGATCTGTTGCGCCATGTGGGTAGCTCCCTGGATGGCCAGGGATCGAACGCATGCTGCAGAGGCTGCAGATTGCTTCACAGTGCGTTGCTTAACTCCTTGTGCCACCAGGGAGGCCCTGGATAATTATTTTAAGCCGTTGCGCCTGACCCAGTGAGCTTCACGTTTGAGGTATTGCCCTGTTGTGCTGTTGCCTGGGTACAGCTGGGCCTGATGCTCTGGTTATCTGACCTGGCTGGGGATACTCTTTCCTGGGGGCAGAGTTTCTGCCTGCTGCTGTCTGAGCAGTCCTTCCCAGAGCTGACCCCTGCCATGACCTTCTCTTTTGATGCTGAGGATGTGGCCTGCATTGTGGGACAAGACAGTTTTGTTCTGTCTGGCAGCAGTTCTAGGCAGAGTCCCAGGCCCTCATTGTCTCCAGCCATTTCTTGGATGAAGGCACCCGACCTCAGTCTGGAGAGGCCTTGCTCTCTTTCAACGGGGCTTTGTGTTTGAAGATTATGGCTGCCATTTGGAAAAGTTCCTCCTTCCACAAGGGGCTTTCTCTTTGGTTTCTTGGCACTGACTTCTGAAACTAGTGTCCTGGGGGAGGCAGTTGACAGGAGCCCAGGGCCTGGGATCGGGGCCTTTCCTGGGTGGTCTTGGGCATGCGTTACACCCCAGGTGAGGTCAGGTAAGTAGAGAGCTGGACAGAGGATATAGTTTTGTGATTGCGTCTGCCAGAGCTGCTGTTCTTCTCACCAAGACATCCGGTTTTTACAAACCCCACTCCTAGCTGCTGCCCCTGAGGCTCTGGCTGAGGTGAACCAGGTCTTATCACTTTGTTCTCTGTGTTCTTGTAGCATTTGGGTGGTTTTATCGTTATGATGGCAAATTCCCAACCATCCGGAAGGTAGGACAGGATTGAGTGCCGTGCTGGTTTGCTGCTGAGTTTGCCGTGGGTTTTTGCCTTTCTCAAACCTTATTTCTTTTCCTGTCAACTCCAAACAGTGTAACTCAGCCTGCTCACTTGCAGGGCTAACCCCCTCTGTGCCTCTGTCTCAGGCTGACATCAGGTGGCGGAGCTCTGTCACAGGATGACAGAGCGAGACCCCCCTCCCAAGAACCATCAGGCACTGACTGCTTAGCACTGCCTCCAGTGGGCATAGGGCAAGGGCTGGGCTGTAGCAGGAAACTTCTGTTTTATTTCTGTCAAGTAGAATCAAAGGCCAGGACCAGAAACCAAGGTCAGACAGAGGTTGGGTGAACAATCACAGGTGATGTGGTGGACCCTGCCAGGTGTAGACGGGCTGCCGAGGTGGGGGATTTGCTGCCTCAGGTTGGGACACGGAAACACAGCAACTGTAACAAATAACCCTGCATGTGCCAAGGATAATGCATTTTCTTGTCTCTGGGGCCTTGCAATTTCTCCCTAAATCTTATTACTCTATCTCCAGGCCCCATTAAACTCGCTTGTCCTTTTTCTTTCTAAATCACCTTGGCATTTGATTATGAGAACGCTGCTGTTAATATCTGTAAATTGAACATTTGCAATGACTTGGTATTTGGAAATCTGGCATCAGCATAAATCTGGTGAACTCATTTAAGTGTTATCGTGCAACTGGCTCTTTCTGTCAGGACATCAACCCCCAGAAACCAAAGCATTGGCAGGTGGGTAATGGTAATGTGTAATTTCTCTGCCTGTAAAATGGGAATATCTGATATGCTGGAACCATCTGTCCCCTTACTCCAATTTTTAAGGCTGCTGTTGAGATACGATAAACAGCGATATTATTGCTGCAGAGGTGAGAATCTTTACCTAGGCACACAGGTCCTGATTTGTAATATTGACTACATATAGGACAGAGCACCTGGGGGAGGGATTCCTTTTCACACCATCATGGTCTCAGAAAGAATTTCGTTTCATGAAATAGCCCTCTTCATTTTACAGCCCGACTCTGTCTCATTGGGTTAAATTCCTAGTTCTTTATATATTGTCTCTCTCCTAGGACTGACCTAGTAAGACCACATACCCACACCCACATCAGCAATCAGGTCACTTGAAAATTTTTGGTAAAAGGTAGGGTCATTTGCTCCCTACTCATTAAGTTCAGTCATTCCAGAAAGAACTGGTGTTTTGGTTTTCATTTCATTTCCAAATGAGAGGAAAATTGCTTCTAGGTAGAAGCAAGAGAACAGCCAACCCCATCATTTCCTTTCAATTTAACCAAAAGGAATGTTTGCCTTGAGTTTAACTAGCAGCTAAAAGGACAATAGAATCATGTCCCTCCTGTTGGCTCTGAAAATCCACCATCATTTTCTCTAGAGCCATGTGAGACACTTGTCCTCAACAGCTGGAACTCTGAGTCCATGGGCGATACCAGTGGCTGTCCATGGCCATGACCAGCAATGCACAAAGCCCCCCTTTTGGAAAAGATAGACTCAATGTCTTCTATTCCTAACCTGGCAGTAAGTACCTCTGGGGCTCAAGGCCCTCAGGCCTGTGACCCCACAAAGTCTGTGCCAGGGCCTAAAGGATTCATGGGTTTGAATTCACCAGAACTACTTTCACCAGAACTGCTTAGTAAATCACACAGACCAGCCCTACTTGCAAGAGTCAACAGTTAAGCAGGGGAGGCAAATTAACACACAACTAAGTGACCCATACATTGCGGGTTGGTATAAAATCAGTAGGCAATGCTATGGGGCTGATTTCTTGAGATGGGACAGAAATTGTCACATCTGCCTGCCCCAACCCAGGAGCCCTGGCTCTTAAAATTTTAGGTTTTGTTTTTTTGGGTGTTTTTTTTTTTTAACCAAAATGGCCATTCCTTCATGGTAGTCCCTGTGCAAGGTCAGACCCCTATTCTAGCAAGTGACCATTAGGCAGAATGTTTCTGTCTCCTCTCGGGGAATTGCTACCTGAATCTATAACATGAGGGCAGGGATTCATCCATCAGCTGAGCCAAGAATCTAGTGAACAGCACAGGCAAAGAACCAGGCCAAACTCTGAAGCAATGACAGCCACTTCTCCAAGTCTTTATAGACTGCTCCTGGATGGGGGACCAACTCCAGAACAAATTACCTGGGCTCAGAGTGGGAGTGTCTTTTGGAGGGGAGGCAGGATGACACAGTCATAGGTCTGTAATGATCCGCAACACCCTCCAGCTGTACCCTAAGTTTTTTTTTTTAAAAAGATTTATTTATTTATTCATACAAGCACTGGGTACAGTCAGAAGCGCAAGAGGGTGAGAGAATTCACCAGAGCCAGAGCAGAGAGCAGAACAGGCAGACTGACGAAGTACACTGCTGAGGGGAGCAGCGGGCAGCAGGAGAGGTCTGCGCGCCATGTGGGACCCTCGCCTGGTGGCAGGGAATCAAACCCGCGCTGCTGAGGCTGTGCACAGCTTCACAGCCCAGCACTCAACCACTGCGCCACCAGGGGAGGCCCCTGTGCCCTAAGTTTTGTGTCCATTGCTGGGAAATGAAATTCCTCATTCTCAGCCTCGATTGCTGGGATGTTGCAGGAATTCTAAAAGGAGGCCCCAGGAAGACTTGTTGGGGGGGTGAGCTCAGTGAGCATGCAGGTTTTCTCCTTCCCCCAGAGTGTTGAACTCTCTCTGCTGCCCTCTCTCCTGAGTGCTAGCTCTGTCCTCCATGCTGTGTGTGATGGGCCTGACCCTCCCCTGTGCCATGCTCCCATTGTCTGCAGCTCATCAGGGCACAGAAGAAAAGCTGTGGAACCTGAAAGACTTGGGTCCATATCCTGGCACCACCACTTACTACATGTTTGATATCAGACAAGGGACTTCTTTCTGAGACTTGGCTTCTTCATTAAGAAAAGGGATAATGCCTATTTATAAGATAATCAGTGTACCCCTGCCATACAGGCTGTCCATCAATGTTCATTCTCTCCCTTCTTTACTCCCTCGCTTCCCTGCAATCCCGAGGGATTGCTGCTAGGGAAACAGACTGTGGGTCTAGTTCCAACAGGAAAAATGAGTCTGTTTGCCCTGCATCTCCCCTCTCAAATCTTTTTTTTTCTTTTCTTTTCTTTTTATTTATATATTTTTTACATCATTGTTCATTTTTTAATTATAAATTTTATTTTTATATTCCCCATACAATTGCGACCCCCTTATTTTGACCCCAATCCCTCCCCTCCCTGCTCCACACCCCCCATAGAGTGTCTCTAGTTCATAGTTGTTTGTTGATATTGATTTTTACTTTCATATAGTTATTCTTTTTTTTTTTAATTTTTTTAATAGAGGCATGTTTTACTTATTTATTTGTTTGTTTGTTTGTTTGTTTTGTTTATACATGCACTGGGTACAGTCAGAAGCGCGGGAGGGTGAGAGAATTCACCAGAGCCAGAGCGGGGAGCAGAGCAGGCAGAAGGACCGAAGTACACTGCTGAGGGGAGCAGCGGGTGGCAGGAGAGGTCTGCGCGCCATGTGGGACCCTCCTCTGGTGGCCGGGGAGCAGCCGGGGATCGAACCGGCGCAGCAGAGGCTGCGGGCAGCTTCGCAACCCAGAGCTCAACCACTGCGCCACTGGGGAGGCCCATACTTTCATATAGTTATTGTTTTTCCTGGACCCTTATTTAAGTTTTCTAGATTCCTGCTATGAGTGAGACCATCCGGTATTTTTCTTTTTCTTTCTGGCTTATTTCGCTGAACACGATCCCTTCCAGCGCCATCCATGGTGCTGCAAATTGCATGTGTTTATCTTTTTTGAATGCTGAGTAATATTCCATTGTGTATATGTACCACATCTTCTTGATCCAGTCATCTATTTTTGGGCATTTGGATTGTTTCCAAAGCTTAGCTATTGTAAACAGTGCTGCTATAAACATATCCCCTCTCAAATCTTCTTAAGCCCTAATGGCCAGCAAAAAGCAGGCCAACTTCCCCCTTCCCCCAGCACTCCATCTCCCAGGCCTGTTGCTTCTGTCTAATCATCCTTTCAGGACCTAGTTCAGAAGGAAAAGCTGTTTGGATTCTTTAGGATGAAATGCTTTGGAACTTAAGCATTGGGACAAAATCTGATGTCCCTGGCTCTGTTCTCTGAGGTATGAGGTTTGTTTCCACCTCTTCTAAATCAAATTAGAGGATCTCTACAAATGAAGTTGCTCAGTTCTTCTAGATTTTCTCTAGAGCCTCTCAGGATGCATCTGGGGTATCTGAACATCCAGATGGTAGAGAAGGCATGTACTCAGATATTGGGAAATAAATGCAATGTCTTTTATTTATACAGCATTTTGCAGTTTATAAAGTACTTTCATGGGTGTTGTTTCTTTGGCTCAGGATAGCAAGTCTATGTGCAGGTATTTCCTTCAGTTTGGAGATGATTCAGCCAGGCCCAGAGAAGTTAGAGAACTTAGTCATGGCAACACGGCTAGTTAGGGAACTGGTTAACCAGTTCTTCTGTCTGGCAATGGTAGTGTGCCTCCCACTCTGTAGTGGGTAGCATGGGAGGTCCAGTGTCCAGGGTGGTGAGGCAGAGCTGGGGGGAGGGATTCAGTCTGTGCTGGTTGTCTGAAAATTGAATGCCCTGTTTGCCTGCTGTGCCAGTGTCCATGCTACTTTGTACCCCTTGTCATGTAAACAATGCCACATCTGCTCAGAAAGGAAAAGATAAGAAGAAAGCCAAGTATGACAGCCTGCAGGAGTTGAGAAAGAATAAGAAGGAACTGGAATTTGAGCAAAAGCTTTACAAAGAGAAAGAGGAAATGCTGGAAAAGGAAAAGCAACTAAAGATCAACCGGCTGGCCCAGGAGGTATGTGTCCTGCTCACGGGCCAGGTGAGCAGCCCTGGGATACAGTTTGCTTGTTCCCCACATGCTATATTCCCCATGGAACCAACTGGAGTTGTTCTCCCCAAATGGAGTCCAAGAATGGAGTAAGTCCTGCCCCCTCCCCAGTCTGGAGAATGAGATCACCCCCCTTACCCAGGTTCTTCTGAGGCTAACTTCTAGATTAGGTGTATGTTTGTAATTAAGACTAGCCTTCTTGCTCAGGTATGGGTCTGAGACTAGCCTGTCTGCCCAGATTGTAGGTCTTAGGTTAGGCCTCTACCCACCTGGTCTTTCACTCCCACCCTGTCAGAGTATGAGCAGGAGTAGGCCTCCCTTTGCAGGGGATGAGTCTGAGGCTTACCCCTTTTAGATCTGAAGTTAGCCTTCCACCCATCTATCATTAGGTCTATGTCAATTTGACCTCCCCCTGCCCAGGTTCTGAATCCAAGACCAGGTTTCCCCAGTCAATCTGGGCTCTGGGGATTTGGTTCTGAGACTAACCCATTTGTGCAGGCAGCGGGGCTGAGGCTATCCCCCAATTGATCAGGCTGTGAGTCTGAAGCTGCTCCCATCACATAGGATATGTGCCTGAGGCTAGACCTCTTGGACCTGGGAATGTATCTAAAGCTGTCTTCAAAACATGCCCAGCCTTCTCAAAAGAATGATCCCTATTTTGTGGGTGAGCTGGGTTACTTTAACTCCCTAACTGTTGGAGATCTTATTGGTGCTGCTTCTCTTTAATGCATCCATGAATCAGAATGCCAAGCTGATTAGATTATAAAACCAGAGAAGTCCTGGAAAATGTAAAGTACATTAGATCTGACATAAGGAATAAATTTGCTACAAACTTGTGATTCTAAGAACAAGGCAGCCTAGAGGGAGAAAAAAAAAGTCAAACTCTTGGAATGTTTTCAGAGCCTACAAAAGGATCTTCTTGGAGGACCATAAGGGCTTCAGGGTTCATGGGAATCCTGGGGATAAGGTGACCCTCATACAATTCAGGACTCCATTCTCAGATTTTGCCCATTGGTGCCATTAAGTTGACCTGACACCCAATACCCTTTCCCTCTTATTGCCCACATCTATGCAGTTTTTTTTTTTTTTTTAGATTTATTTATTTATGCATACAAGAGCTAGGTATAGGCCAGAGGTGCGGGGGGTGAGAGGATTCACCAGAGACAGAGTGGGGAACAGAACAGGCAGACTGACTGAAATACACTGCTGAGGGGAGCAGCGGGCGAGACAGGAGAGGTCTGCTGCGTCATGTAGGTCTCCCTGGCCGGCAGGGGATTGAACTTGTGCTGTAGAGGCTGCAGATAGCTTCATAGTGCAATGCTTAACCCCTTGCACCACCAGGGAGGCTCTATGGGGTGTTTTTGTTTGTTTGTTTTTTTGGTTTTTTAAAAAAGATTTATTTGTTTATACAAGAACCAGGGTACAGGCCAGATGCTTGGGAGGGGGAGAGGATTCACCAGAAAAAGAGCGGGGAACAGAACAGGCAGACTGATGAAATACACTGCTGAGGGGAGCAGCAGGCATGACAGGAGAGGTCTGCCCTGCCATGTGGGACCCTCGCCAGCAGGCCAGGATCGAGCTGGTGCTGCAGAGGCTGTGGACAGCTTCACAGAGCTGCACTCAACCGCCTGCGCCACCAGGGGAGGCCCATCCTCTGGGTTTTTTTTTTAAAGAAGTGTCTCTATACCACTGATTCAGTGTGCTGCCCACATGTAACATATGTGCCTTTGTCCTGTCCTTTTGGGCTGACCTGGTCCTGGTCCCAGGTGTCTGAGACAGAGCGGGAAGACCTCGAGGAATCAGAAAAGATTCAGTATTGGGTGGAAAGGCTCTGTCAGACGCGCCTTGAGCAGATTTCCTCTGCTGATAATGAGATTCCAGAGGTAACAGAGCCCCCTCCCCACACGACACTCCTGTGGCCTTCAGCATTACCCATCCTGGGGTCAGCGGCAGGCAAGATGCCTCTGGCAGGGCTTACTGGCCCACCCCTCCCACCAGCCCACTCCCACCTCCTCTCTTGGAAGGGGGGACAACTCTGTTTTTCTGACTTATCTCCGGAGTGACCAAATTCTACCTGGTCTGAGATGGTCCTAAGTGGACCTGTTGTTCTGGCGTAATTACTGCAAGTGCTTCTGTCACTGTTAAATGTTCCTATTTAGATGATTAATTATTTGGGCACCTAATTTATCACCCATGTATGGTATTACTTGGGACCTCCCCTGTATGGGACACTTCCCACTGGCTGTCTGGTATGGGGCTCAGCTGAACACCAGGTGCCAGAGAAGCGACACCCCCTGGCTCTGGTTTGAGGGTGGTGGGTCCCCAGCAGCAAGAGAAACATATTAGAAGAACATCATATTCAATATACTGTGGAATAGAGCACTCGTCTGATAATTACAGAACTTCTTTGCAACCCCCAGATGACCACAGGGCCCCCACCTCCTCTGCCTTCCGTGTCCCCTCTGGCCCCACCTCTGAGACGCTTTGCAGGTGGGCTGCACCTCCACACCACTGACCTGGATGACATCCCCTTGGACATGTTCTACTATCCCCCCAAGTCTGCCTCTGCCTTACCTGTGATGCCCCACCCTCCATCCTCCAACCCACCCCCCAAAGTCTCGGCACCCCCCATTCTTCCCTCATCGGGCCATATGAGTGCCTCGTCCTCACCCTGGGTGCAACGCACTCCACCCCCCATCCCCATCCCTCCTCCACCGTCTATTCCCACCCAAGACCTCACTCCTACCCGCCCGCTGCCCTCCTCCCTGGAAGAAGCTCTGGGCAGCCATACCTTCCGTGCTGGGGACACGGGCAGCCCAGCAGAGAACTGGGAGGCAAAGAAGCACAGCGGGAAGACAGCCAATTCCCCTGTCCCGGAACGAAGCTTTCCACCCACCCCAAAGGTATCGCCCCTGTTCTGCATGCTGTGTGCGGAAGCAGGAAAAGAGGCCAGGGCTGCTGTTTCCCACATCCTCCACTCACCCTTTGAGGGGAACTTGAGGGAACATCACCCCACCCCATTTTCCAGGAATGCGCTCCCCACTTGCATGTTGTGGACTTCCTGCATGTGCATGGTTTCTGCTGATACTGAAGTGCTGTAGTGTCTGGTGGATTGTGTGTGATACTAAGGAAGAGCAAGAAAGGATCGATGTTCATTGCTCTCTCTTTGCTCTTCTTGCTTAGTATGAGCTGGTAGCTTTCATACTTGGCTAGGATGAGCTAGTACTTGCAGAGATGTTTTTGAGAGCCAGAGTTCCATGTCCCAGCCAGCTATTTCTTGGTATTAGCCTAGAAAGCCTTGAATATGGAAAATGAATCCCTGGTTTAATGGATAAAAAAGTGGGGGTCGGACAACTCTTTGAGTCTCTGTAAACGAAGTACTAACACTATCCATTGCATTATTAGAACATTACAGTGTCATTTTCTGTGGAACTGGCCAACTGACTTGAAATAAAGTAGCGAGACAGTTCTGGCCAACTCCCAGCTACAGAAAAGATGAAGATGGATGGTTCCTAGAAATCTCCAAATTAACTATTAAAAGACTAGGGATATTTTTCTTGGGTGTCAAAATACTAAATAATTATCTTTCTCAAAAATGCCTGTTTCTTGTTTAATTGTTCTTAATCCAAAGACTATTTGGGAAGAAGCAACCTTGAAGGAAGACATGGAACTTTGATGCCATGGAGGGAAAAAAATCCCCAAAATATTCTTTCTCTTCTTGGAGCCATGGGCCAGGCTTGAGACAGCAGCTAATGCTGCTCACGTCAGCTGAAAGAGGGGGCATTGGGGGTGGCATTCAGTAGGACCTGATCAGCATGAATTTGAGTTTCCTGCATAAAGAGCAGAACAAGCATTTCAGAGCATTTGGGAGATCCTGGGAGAAGGAAGTTGGGAGTGAATCAAGTGCCAGATGCCAATAAGCCTGCAACTTCTGGAAGAAATCCCCAGAGGGATTCTCTCTGAGCCTCCTGTCAGGTGCTGAGCCCTGCAGCTATGGCAGAGAGAAGTGTCTGTCCCAGGGATGTCTTGCTCCAGAGCCCAGCCATAGCAGGTTTGCAAGGGTCTGAGCTGGCCTAGCACAGGGGCCCACATCCTTCTTGTGAATGATTCCTGCCAAAATGGGTGGCACTTTACCTCAACAAATCAGAGTTAGCAGTCATGACTAAGATTCACAAAAGATAGACAAAAGATGCTTTGTGCATCTTTTTGGGGGGAAGGAGAGAAGGGAAGGTGGGAGCAAGGGGAGCAGTGCTGAAGAAGATACAGAGTAGATTGGCACACTTGTGCTGTCTAGGATTTTGCCTCTGAAAAATGAGCAACTGATCAGGCAGGGTTCAGCTATAAAATTGGCACAGGCCAGGTGCAGTGGAGGGACTTATTCTCATGGGAAGTTGAAGACACCTCTGTAGAGGAAAGGACTTATGAGTTGAGCCTTGAGTGATGGCATTAGTGGAGGGTGGGAGGGAGGGCATAGCCAGGGTAGGTACAAGGAACATAAAGATGGCAGGGAAGACCCTGCTGGGTTTGAATGCTGGCCTTACCACTAGCTGGGTGATTCTGAGCATGTGTTACTCCCTCTGTCTAAACCTAGGTATCCATGTCTGTAAAATGGGGATGCTAATAGCAGCTGCTTTTTATGAAGATCAAAGGAGTTAATACATTAACTTGTTCTAGGTTAATGTTTAGGAGAGTAGCACAAGCATGGCAGATGCTCAGTGGACATAAACTGATCAGTGGTAAAGGAGAGCACAGAAAACTTTGGGTGAAACTGCAAACATGGGGTTGGTGGTAAAATGCAAAGTTTTGAGGCAGGGTCCAGATTCTAAACAGGTTCCAACTTTCTCGAATTCCTCAAAGAATCAGGAAGTGCCCACTTAGGGATACTTAAAAGCTCTTCCACACAAGGAGCCTCTGAAGAACAGACCCTGCAGGTCTTAAATGACATCAAAGCTAAGATTGTGCCTGACTCAAGGCTGGGGGGTGGAGAGCTGCTGTTTTGATTAGTGTCATCCTGTCTGCATCAGCACTTTGGCCCTTGCCTCCAGATCCTGCCCTACCTCCTCTTCCCTGCATGCTTCTGGCAAGTTGTCATCAGCACTGCAGCAGGAAATGTGGGTGATCACATATCTGCACAGTCAGCCCAGCCACCAGCAAGCCTCAGGTGTGCCACCTTGGCATGTAAGCCTGACACACAGCACCTGCCAGATAAAGGTTTTCAGAGCCATATACACCCCCGTGTGCCCAGCACACAACTGATCATTCACTTTCTCATTGGACATGTTTAGTGAGCACCTACTGTATTCCAGACCACAAAATGGTCAGCCCAGTGCCTGCCTGAGACAGTCTGGTGGAGAAGATAGACAAATAAGCTGGAAATTACCACCCTGGAAAAAGGAAGGGGGGTGAGGACAGGTGCTGTGATGAGTAGAGAGAAAAGGCTCAAGGCACACTTCTTGAAGGCAGTGACACCTAAGTTTAGATCTGGGGAGGCAGAGCAGAAGGAGGGAAGAAGGTGTGCAAAAATCAAGCCAAGAAAGCCTGGCATTTGGAGGCTGCAGTTAAGCAAGATGACTAGCATGAGAAGGAGTGAGCCTGCAAAGGAAGGAAGAGAAGCTCATGAAGCACCTTGGGGGTCAAGTCAAGGAGCTCAGTTGTTAGTGGGAACCCATGAAGCATTTGGGGCAGGGCTGTGACCTGGTTTATCTTGTCCAAGAGTATCAAATGGGGTAGAGAAAAGCAAACAGGCATCTTTGTCCCTCCTGGATGCTGCTCTTATTGATCCTTACCCACTGGCCTCAAGGGACTGTTTGTCCACCCACCAGGAATAGATGCTTTGTGTCCAGTCCAGAGACTAGAACCATGGCCAGACAAAAGAGGGAGAGAGGAGGTGGGACAGCACCCATGTGGATCGAGAGAGGGCCATGAAAGTGTATCCCGAGTGACAGTGGCTGCTGGCACCCTCACAACTAGTCTCTGGCTCAATTTCCTGATTCCTTAGAGCCATCCAGGTATTTCAATGGCTCTCACTGCTGACGATAACACCCCTAGGACCCCCAGCAGGTGAAGAGAACAAGTTGGCTTAGCATGCGCATGGTGGGTGTGAATTTGCATGTGTGCCCAAGTGCCATGGTTAGCCTGAGCCACCCCACTGGAACTTTATATGGGTCTCTCTTAAATTAACCCCTGTAGACATTTTGCCCAAGCCCACAGCCTCCACGAGGCCCTGGCGTGTCCACCATCTCCAAACCTGTCATGGTCCACCAGGAGTCCAATTTCATCTACAGGCCACCTGTGAAATCCGAGGCCCTGGTAAGCCCCTGGGGTCCCCTCCAAGGCCTCTCCAGGGGAGCAGATGAGGACTCTCTTCCCTAGGTCTCTGGAGGGAGAGTGAGGAGGGAGACAACTTAATATCAAGTGCCATCTTGCAGGCTTCTCCTTGGCCAAGAGATGGATCCACTGGGTGCCAGCAGGTGTTGACATGAGCAATGGAAGTTCCCCACCTGACCAAACAGCCTGGAGCCCTATCTAGAAGTAATAATAATAGCTAAGACTTTTTACCAGCCAACCTTGTGTCATGCTCTAGCGGTCTCAAAATAGCTCAGTGACATGTTGCCTGTTCTTACCTCTGTTTAACATTTGAGGAAACTGAGGCTTAGAGGTTAAGTCAGTTGCTTGAGGTTAAGCCCAGACTTACTATTTAATCCAGAGTCTCTCAGACTCCACAGCCCAAACTCTTATCTATATTGCCATCTTGCTGAAACCTGCAGCAATTCCAGTTGTGCTGGCCTCTGCCCCTTGAGCCTGGCATAGCTTGGCATGGAGCACCCTCAGATGGGTAACTGAACAAAGCAGATCCACTGCCTTTCTGCATCTCATCCTCACAGAACTGGAGTGGAAGGTGTGGTGCTGGGGGAGTGGAGTGTCTGCCCACCCCCAGACACCTGTGACTGAGTAAACTGGTACACTCAGGGGCACACCCATCCAAGGGCATCAGCCACTGACTGCCCTCCCACCCCAGTGTGAAGTGTCATGCCAGAATTTTTATTCTCTTTTCAAGAAACCCTATCTAAATGTCAGGGCAGGACAGCCTGGAATGCTTATTTCAAGCTTTAGCTGTCCTGTCAGCTCCCTAAAGAGCAAAGTTCTAGCTCCCGTGATGACCGTGTGTCCACGTCGCCGTCTCTGGCGGATGACATGGCATGTCGCTGCTGTGTCCCAGGGCACGAAGCCAGCCCCAGGCTGTGCCTGCTTGGAGGGGGATGTTGGTAAGGCAGCCCCGGGCTGACAGGCCCAGGGTCGGGCACCAGGGGGCAGACGAGTCCTATTGGTAATGTCCAGCATGGAACTATTTTTTTTCTGGCAGCCACAGGAGATGTTGAAGAGGATGGTGGTGTATCAGACAGCCTTCAGACAAGTACAATGATACCCATGCCTGCTGTGTGTTTGGGATCCTTCCTGTCACCCCGTCCCTCCCTCTCTGACTTCTCTCCCTGGGAGTGCTTGTTGGGTTGGAGGCCATCCCTTGAGCTATGTCCCTGTTGCTGGAGGCCAGGATTAGGGGAGGGTTTCCTATGAGGTGGGCTTGTCAGACCCCTGCCTAAGCTGGGAAAGCAGCACATCCCTGGGGGCTCCCCTCATGCTGCCGTTGGTTTGAAGAGGAACCAGCAGGGGGAGGCCGCAGAGGGTCACAGAGGCCATGGTGGACCCTTGTTCCCGTGTTAGGAGGGAAGGAAGGGGTGCCTGAGTTATCGCCCTCCCTCTGTTTTGTCTCCCTACAGTCAGTCCTGGCTTCACCCAGCCCCACCCACACTGAACCAGTACCAGGGAGGAAGTAAGTGGTGGTCCAGGTCGTTTACTCCCCAGGACACTGCTGTCCTGGCAGCCACAGGCCTCCCCACATGCTGGGGCTTACCAGCCACTGGACTGGCTATTTGACCACCCAGGAAAGAGACGTCAGGATAGAGGGAGATTTTGCAGCCTGTCTTTACAGCCAATATCCTCCTTACCCATAACCCGCCACCTGGCTGCAGGCTCATTTCACTGCAGTCAGGGAGCAGAAGGCAGGTGTCAGCTATGTAGTGAGACATTAAAGCCTCCAGAGGAGTCTACTCCCAGCCCAGGACTGGGCCGTGACAGGCAACAGCTAACACTTAGACAGGATGCTATGCAGAGCACTGTTTCCAATTGTATATTAACTCATTCAATCTTAACACTAGCCCTAGGACATACGTGCTATTATCACCTCCATTTCGTAGTTGAGATGTTGAAGCATAGAGATTAGAAGTGCTTATGATGCCACAGCTAGTGTCAGACCCTGGACTGAAATCCAGATGGACTCCTAAAAGCTATGCCATCCTGAATCTCTAAGCACTGTGATTATGAAACAGACATGCAAGGGTTTTGTTCTTTAGGGCACAGGCAGCCCTCACAAAGAGAGAGGCAGGGTAAGGGTCTGCCTCTGGGAGTCAAACTGCCTACTGCCCACTGACTGGGTGACCTTGGACATGAATGTCCAACTTTCTCCATCTGTTGGATGAAAGGTTAGTTTCCCTTCTAAAGGACTGGCCGGCTGTATAGGCATATGTCTCTCATCTACAACCAAGTAAGACACGAGTACTTGCCATTGGCCCATCCCAGAGAGCAGGTTCTTGCAGGGAGGGAAAGAGGACTGAAGCTGTGATTGCCCACTTTTCCCAAAGAAACAGGCAGGGACCTGCCAGTAAAAGAACATTCACGCCATATATGATGCTCCACCCTGAGGCCCTCTTGCACATAGAATTAATGAATCCCTTCCTCTCTATTGCCTGCAGACCACCTCAGGGTGGCGTCTGAGCTGGCCAGCCTGGAGAATTCCATTGTCCTTTGGGGTTGACCCTGATAAGGCTAGTGAGGAGAGTTAGGCAGAGGCCCAGGAATGCATCCGCTGGGATTTGGCCCTGTGCCCAGAGTTGGTTACCACGTGCTAGACATAAAGGAGGCTGTGGTGTTGCCAGGATGCTCATCCCAGGCCCAGGGGACACTTGGTGAGGCCTTGGGAACTGTGTTCTGGGAGTCTGTGTGACCTCCTACCTATCCTTTGCCCCCATGTTCCCGTGAGGATTAACAGAGGGGCCCCGGGCTTCCATGCTCTGTGTGTGACTTTTGGGGAGGCAGTATGTTCTGACTCTGTCCCCTTCTGCCTCCTCATTACCTTGTGTCTATCTTGGGGATATTGTCCCCCACCAAGTCAGGTCCCTGAGCTATGTGTCTTCCCTCATCCCCCCAGTGAAGGTTCTGGGGAGACTGCTTGCCTTCTAGATAAGCATTACATTAAGAACAGTGCCAGGTACAAGCTCAGCACAGAAACTTCCTTTTTTCCTCTTCATGACTGATTCCCTTTGTCCCTGAGTCATCTTATAGCTGGCTTCCCCAAGGAGAGCAGCCTCTTGAGCAGGATGGCCCTTTGGGGTCAGAACCCTGGCTGGAAAAAAGCTGCACTTCAGCCCCAGAACCTGGACCTGGCCTCGTGTGGCCCCTTGGAGGGATGGAGGCAGGGCCTAAAAGGCCTGAGGATGGGCAGAAGAGACCTTCAACAAGCCCAACTCACCTGCCCAGACCACCAAGACAGCAGCAGGTGCCCCTGGTAGCCTCAAATGCCCACCCCGGGCGCTGGAACAGTGCAAGGGCCAGGGTTGGGGGGATTCAAGCACTTCCGTATCTTGCTTCTTTTCTGAACCGAGTGCACTGCCTGTTGGGGTTGCAAGCTTCCTCCCTGTTGCCAGCTTCCTCCCTGCATCCCCACCCAGGCTTACCCATTCACCTTCATATTCCTCTGCCTTAAGCTTATTTCCTGCAGTGACCCTTGGGGGATCTCTGCTCTGTCCCCCAATGCCATCCTTTTGCTTTCAGGATTTCCGGAAATATGAGGAAGGCTTTGATCCCTACTCCATGGTGAGTTTGATAACTCTCCTTTCCCTGGGGGAGCAATCCCAGAAATGAAGGATGGGGTTCTAGTGTATTTGATGGTAGTACATTCTGGACCCTGAGGTCCCAGGGACAAGGAGCCCCAAGGGACCCCCCACTGCTCTTTTTTTTTGAAACCTCCTTGGAGACAGCATTCCAGTGTGAACTGTATGGCTGATGCACATGCGTGTGTGTGTGTGTGTGTGTGTGTGTGTGTGTGTGTGTGCCCATGTGACCCAGCAAAACCTCGGGTGCCCAGCTGAAGCCTGCTCGGGCTGGGGCTGCCAAAGTTCCCCTTGTTTGTGTGAACGCCAGGAAACCTAATGTCCCACAGATGTCTGGTTTGCCCTCCCACCCTTGGCTCCACCCTCATCCTTCAGGTGACTCAGCTCCCCACTCTTTCCTTCCAGTTCACCCCCGAGCAGATCATAGGAAAGGACGTCCGGCTCCTGCGCATTAAGAAGGTACCCGGCACATGGAGGTCGAAAAGGCCACCCCCCTTCTCTGCCCTGCCTCCTCCCATCTTGGTCCCCAGCTTCTACTCTCACAGTATCTCCTGGGAGATACCTTAGATCCCCACTATTCTCCCCCTCAATCCCTGAGAATGTCTGCTTCTGTGGTACCACACACCCAGACCCTTCTTGGCCCCTGTACCCATTTTCTCCCAGGTGGCCCTGCCTGTCACCCCTGGGCTTCTACTCATTGTGACCCTATCAAGAGGCTTCTTGGTGCTGCTGTCTGTCTGCTTGGCTCCCTAAAGCCTTTTTTTCTCTAACCAGGAGGGATCCTTAGACCTGGCCCTGGAAGGTGGTGTGGACTCCCCGATCGGGAAGGTGGTCGTCTCAGCTGTTTATGAGGGGGGAGCCGCTGAGCGCCATGGTGAGTGGGAACCAGCCATGTGGGCAATGGTTATGCAGGCCCCTTTGGGAAAGCAAACAGCTGCCCTCTTAGAGAAGGCTGGCAGTTGTTCCAGAATGCCCTTCAGCTGGAACTGTCCATCCAGCAGGCATCTGATGGTGCCAAGATTTGTGGGTGGACAGCCGAACCAGACACCACTCTGCCCTCCAGGGCCTCGCTGTCTTGTAGAGGAAACGTGCTCGGAATTGCCAGGTACTGACAAAAACAGTACAGTTTGCTAAGAAGTGACAGAAAGCTAAGGGGGTGGAGGGACACTGCGGGAACCCTGTGGACCCTTAGTCCACCTAGAGAAAGGGAGCTGCTGGGAATGGCCCCCAGAAGGAAACCTGGGCTGCACCTTGAAAGAGAAGTTGATGTTTCCTTGGAAACTTCCTGGGAACTTTCCAGAAGATGGGAGAGCAGTGCAAAGGCCGAAGAGAAACCATTAAAACCTTGCCCAACCTTTTAATAACAATGAGAGCCAACATCTGCAAGAACTAACCATGGCCCAGAGGCTATTCTAAGTACCTGCCCATAACTCTGTGTGTACGTAGGTGTATATTAGCTCTCAGAAGCCACCTATCCGCATGTCCAGCAGGGAAAGAGGACCAGGATAAATGGGTGACTTTTCCTGGGCCTCTCCCCCCTTATGAAGCCCCAGCACAATCACTGCCTTATTACCCCTAGGCTCACCATTCACTTACAAAGTGAAAACCCCCTCTCTCCAGGCCCACTGTCCAAACTGCTGTCTGCAGTTCGGTCCCACACTGCTTTGGCACACAGCAGCTGGTGAAAGTTTCCCCAGGAGCATGTGTGTTTAAGGCACTGTGGCCACCATCTTCAGTAACACCCCATTCCTATGGTCCTTCTTGCCTGCAAGGCTTCTGGGTGGTCTATTTCAACATAACTCAGAGAGTATTCTGTTGGGGGACACCAGGACTGGGAGAAATTCTTTTGGAAAAGAAAAGAATTTTTTTTAAAAATGATATGTGGGAAGCTGTGCACAATCTAACTACTTTTTGGGGAGCCACCATGCATGTCAGCATGGCCAGGGTTTCGACAAGGCCTTCAGTGAAGTGAATAACTCACTGATATCTCAGCCTTTGCAGACTTATTAGATAGGGGTCATCTCATCAGAACACTTATAACACCATTCATGTATTCAAGAAATATCTACTGGATTTGTGTTGTGTTCATTTTGTGCTAGGTATTATGGTAAGTGCTGAGGATATAGTGGTAAATAAAAAAGACAGTCCCTGCCTGTGGGGCTGATTGTCTGACAGGAAAGCCCAGCAATCAACAAAACAGATTTATGATTATAAACTGTAAGATGCTGTGCAGGAAGAAACCATGATGCCAGGAGAGAATATAGGAAAGATCTACTTGAGATCAAGTGGGGGCCACAGGAGGCCTCTCTGAGGGGGAGACATTTGGTGTCAGACCTAGAAGAGGAGAGAGAGAAGGCAAGTGTTCCAAATGGAATAGTATATGGAGGCTTTGAGATAGCAAGGAGTTCAGCCTGTCCGGGGACCTGAAGCTGACCAGCAGGCTGGAGTGGCCCAGAACTCTCCTGTGATAACTTTACTAGAAATGCAGGTTTGTCTCCTGCACTATCAGAGGCCAACACAAAAGCTTGGGTGGCCATGATCCATCGACTCTACTGAGCTGGGGTGAGGACACGTGGCCAGGCTGGGAAGGAAGTGGTCTTTGAGTTACCTGGTAGATTCCCCTGTGCTCTGAGCCCATGTGAGCTGTCAGCACACAGGAGTCAGGTGACTTCTGTAGCCCTACAGTGAGTGCTTTGCCAAGCCCTGTGTAACATACATGTCATCTATAGCCAACAGTCTTGTCTTTCTGTAGGTGGCATTGTGAAAGGGGATGAGGTGATGGCAATCAATAGCAAAATCGTGACTGACTACACCCTGGCTGAGGCTGAAGCTACCCTCCTGAAGGCCTGGAATCACGGGGTAAGAAACTAGCCTGTTTACTTCCTCCCTTCCTTGCCTCAAACCCTAACCTCAAACCCTGGCTATTACAGCCAGGCCTTACATTTGGGATGCCCCAACTCAGGCAGGTGTCTAGGGTCAAGGCAACTCTTGGGTGATGCTCCCATACCCCATCCAGCCAATGGTCTTAATCTCACGGGTTCCAGAAAAGTAAATGTCAGTTCTTGACCTTGAGACTGAAAAGCAAGTGATGTGAATACAGACTCCAGCTGAGAAGGCATAGCAACCCACCCCCCAAAAGATAAGGCCTTCTCTAAGTACACCTTGAACAGAGTCAAGGGAGTGCTCAAGGATGCTAGAAATCACTAACAGGTGAGGACTCAGGAAGGAGAAGCTGGTGTTAGTCTGCTCTATATTTATTAGCCACCCACAGCAGGGCCACCATGGATGGTTTCCCAGTCCGTGCACTGCAAGGGGTGCCCTCCTATAGACTACAGCATGAGCGGTGCCCACTCAAGTTGTGCAATGAACAACCTGTGCAACTGTGTGCAGGCAGCTGAGCCTGAGGTATTAAGTTCAGTGCCGAGGAAGCTGACCAGATGGACTTGGGACCCACATAAAAGGATATGGACCAGAGGAGACTTACGGATAACATGATGACTATCTTTGATTATCTGAAGTGCTGCATTAGGTTAGAGGGAACAGAAGTGTGTTCTGTGATTCTTGAGGACAGAACTGGATTGGATGGAGGGAGGTCCTAGGGAAAGATTTTAGTTCAATATCGGAAGTTATTCCATGGTAGAGGGGCCCAGTGATAGTTCACATACTTTTTATTGGCTATACCCAAGCCAAGGTAGGACAACAATGAATCAGCCTAGGATGGCAGTCATGCAGGTGAGGGTATTCAGTGTTAGGATCAGAAATCTATGTCAGAAATTCCCCAATTGGCTGTGTATCAGAATGACCTAAGGAGCTTGTTTAAAAAACTATTTCCCAGGACCTGCCCCAGATTTCCAGGTGTGAGTCTGGAGTTTTAAAACATTCCCCCAAGTGATTCTGAGATTGCTACTTTGCCCTGGTCCACAGAGCAGCATTTGGGAACTTAGTGTCATTCAAGGGCCTGGCAACCCTGATCTTATGGTTCTGAAGCCTCAGCATCTACAAACTTCCCTAGACCATGGGACCCAACAGTGAGCCCCAACCCCAGCTGGAGGACTCCAGCTCCACCAGGGGTCTCCTCTCCCCCCATGGAAAGAAGGCCTCAGTTGGCTGGGGATCCAGTAATGGGAATGGAGTGTCAGGGGCAGTCACACCATTGAGCCCTGAGTACGCTCCAGAGTCACAAGACTTCTCCCTACAGGACTGGATCGACCTGGTTGTTGCTGTCTGTCCCCCCAAGGAATATAACGATGAACTGTAAGTGTGCGCAGCACCTCTCCATGATCTCCTATTCTTTCTCCTCCAAAATCTTGGCCATCTTCCCCCAGCCTGAAGGAATGGCCCAAGCACACAGCTCTTAGTAGCCATCCATCCTAGGAAAACTCCCAGGCTAGAGAAAGCTAGGACCAAGTCACTGTCAATTATTGTCAGTGCTGCCTCCAAGACTGCCTTATTCTAATTCTTCTTGACATATGGGAAACTGAGGCCCAGAGACATTAAGGGTCTTTGGCCAAGTAAATGAAGTTAAGACAACATCCAGGATTTCTGATTCCCCACTGAGAATGTCATCTCCCCACTGAGAATGTCATCCACTAGTTTGAAGACTTCTGTGTCTTTTACACTCTGGAGGGTTTTTCTGATATCTAACTGAGAGGTAACTGCATCCCCAAACAGCCAGGACCACGAACCCAACCTGCAGGATCTCCCAGGAGCCTTGGCTCAGCCACCATCTTTCTCTGATTCCCTGTGTCTGTCTCAGAATCTGTTCCGGTCCCGTCTCTGTGTCTCGCTGTCTTTCTCCTCCATCTTCTCTTTCCCTCTTCCCCATCCTACCTGTCACTCTCTCCCTCTTTTCCTATCTCTCCTCCCCGCTGCTTCATCCCCCTTCCCTCCACCTCTCTCCCACTTTCCTTTTCTTGCTTCCCTGCATCCCTGACTGTGAGTCCCTCCTTCTCTGTCTTGGACATTCAGCCTCTCTCACTCTCCCTCTCGGCCTCTGTGGCCACCGGCCTCCATCTTCACCTCATCCCATCGCCTCCCCACCCTGCTGACCGCGTCGTGACTGTGCCTGCTTTGCTCCCCTTGCCCAGCAGAGGCTGAGTTCTCCGTATGTCTTGAGAAACTGAGGTCTTAGAGTAACTCATTCTGGAGCCCAGGGCCTAGGCAGGAGCCAAGTGAGGGGAGAGGCCCGATGGCTCTGCCTGGGAATAACTGAGCCCTGTTTTGTGTTTCCTGCTCTGCTCTGCGTATGTAGCTCTTCTCTTCCCTCTTCTGCAGCCGAAAGCCCCCAGCCGGTCCGAAAGCTCCTTGAAGACCGTGCTCCCGTGCATAGACACGGGCTCCTCCTGCAGCTGGAGCCTGGCAGCCCCCCATGGTGAATAGGCAGGCGGGCTGCGGGGCCCCGTCTGTCCATGCTGCGTGCAGTGGCCGTCTGCTGACCAAGCTGTCGGCAGGTTCTTTGGACTAGTGTCTGGAGGGGTGTGTGAGGCGCCATTCCCAGAAGTGCCACTTGGGCCTACTGTTGGTCACACTGGGATTCTGTGGGACTGTGTTCAGGAGAGCCAAGTGCACAGCACTATTGGGACCAGGAGCCTGACTTACCACAACCCATGGTTCCTGCCATGCAGCACCTGAATGAGCAGGATGGAGCTGTGAGCACCGTTCTCTGCTGGCACACACAGTGCCTCAAAGCAGGCATGATTCCTCTGGAAGAGCCCAGAGGAAGCTCAGTTAGAATCTCCTCCTGCCCCCATTCAGAAGTGTCCTCAGCAAAGTGTGCCTCTCTTCCCTGGGAATGCCACCCGCTGGGCGCCCCTGCTCTGCTGGCCTCTGTGTTTGGGCAGAGCATTAAGAGGTTTTTAAGGCTGGTCCAAAGAACCAGGTTGGCCTATTAGTGTCGTTCATGTCCTGTTGTGACTTGTGGTCTGAGCCTTGCTTAGACCAAACTGTCTTCTGTGCCTTCTATGCCCTTTGGCTTGGGACTTCACCTGTGGGACACTGCGGAGCCCAGCTTTGGGTGGTGCTTCCCACCCTGTGACAGGACTGTGTCCATGGACAGAGCTGGTGGGTAGCCGTGGAGCTGGTGCTTGGCACAGCCTAAAGCGCATGTGGGACAGACCCAAGCCTGATCTTGTTGACATTTGTTACAAGTTTCTCAAAACATTAGGGCCTCGAGCTCCCAAGGCGGTTGACCTACTATGCTGTGGCTTCTGGGATGATCTCAGTGGCCCTGTGTTTTCTGTCACTTGCCATCTGCTCTTTGCGAGGGACTACAGCCCTCTGCTTTCTGGTCCTTCCCCCTTCATGCCAGGTGTCCCTCCTGCTTTCTCCCTGGCCTCCCGTGTGCCGTGGCTATGGTGGTGTGTAGCTGCTTGGGGCCTGCACCCAGAGGGGTCTCCAGAGGTTTGGCAGGGCCTTGTGCTCTGGGGGTAGGGGTGTGCTCCCTACTGTCAGGCCCTGCTCCGAGGGTACACCCACAAGGCCTGCACTCACCTGCTCTGTCTCCTCTTTCCTACAGGACCTTCTTCTGAAGCCTGCAAGGAGAAACCAAATTCATCTCTAGTAGCCAATGAGCTCTGAACCCACCCTCTTAAACATAAAGACTGGGGCCGGCCCTGAGAGGCACCAACCTGCAATACCCTGGAAACACACAATGAGATTTCAGGCTCACCTTGGCCCTGAACTCGGGCTGGATAAAGAACACTGGGAGGACAGCAGGGAGGAAGGAGGCAGCCAGCCATTCTGAAGCGCATCCCTGGGATCCAGACTCATTTCTTTCCTCTGGCGCTGTGGATTTGGTCTCTCCCAGCCTGGGAGACTCCTCCCTTGAACTCTAATAGGACCCAACTTTTGGGCTCTCCTCACCCCTTTCCTCTTGCTCCTGTGCTGCTGAGATTGCTGCCACAACCCTTACTCTGAATTCATGAATAAAACAGATTTCTTTTCCAGTTTATAGGAGTCAGTATGGATTTTGGCAGCTGATTACAGGCTGTCAACTAAGAAACCGGAAGGTTCTGGCCCTTCTTTATGAGTGAGAAACAGTGCCGTGCTGGGAGCTGGGTCTGACATGAAGCATGTGACCAAATGGCCAGGGACCGGCTTGGGGCAGGGAGTTGGGGCAGCAGGAGATGAGCTAGGCTGGGCTTCAGTGTCTTCTCAGCAGAAGGGTGGCAGCACATGAAGTCCATGTAGCATGTATACCACGTCTTCTTAATCCACTGGTCTGTCAATGGCTATTGGAAACAGTGCTGCAGCGAACATAGGAGTACATATTTCCCTTTGAATTAGTGATTTCTTTGGGTAGATACCAAAGAGTGAATAGCTAGATCATATGGTATATCTATGTTTAATCTTTTGAGGAACCTCCATACTATTTTCCATAGGGCTGAACCAGTCTGCTTACTGACCAGCAGTGTACAAGGATTCCTTTTTGTTCACATCCTCACCATCATTTATTGTTTCCGGTTTTCTTGATACAGGCCATTCTCACTAGAGTAAGGTGATACCTCATGGAGGTTTTGATTTGCATGTCCCTGACGATAAGTGATGTTGGACGTTTATTTTATGTGCCTTTTGGCCATCTGTATGTCTTCTTTGGAGAAATGTTTTTTTTTTTAGCTCTTCTAAATCAATTTAGTTCTTCTAAATCAATTCTTTGATTGAGTTCTTTGTTTTCTTTTTGTGGAGTTGTGTGAGTTTTTTGTAAATCTTGGATCTCAGTCCATTTTTGGATGTATGATGTGCAAAATTTTTCTCCCACTGTACAGAAGCTTTTTAGCTTGATGTAGTCCCATTAGTTTATTTTTTATTTTGGTTTTTCCTCACCATTGGAATTGAGTCTCCAAAGGCATCCATGAAGCCAATGTTGTGGAGTATTTTGCCTATGTTTTCTTCTATGTATTTTATGATTTCTACTCTTACATCCAAATAGTCAGTCCATGTTGAGTTAATTTTTGTGTGTTGTGTGAGAGAGTGGTCTAGTTTCATTTTTTCTGCCTGTGACTATCCGGTTTTCCCAACAATATTTGTTCAAGAGACTTTCCTTTCTCCATTGTGGTCTCCTTTGTCCATATGTAGTTGGGTTTATTTCTGAACTCTCAGTCCTAGTCCATTGGTCTATGTCTTTATTTTTATTTTATTTTATTTTTTTTTTTATTTTATTTTATTTTATTTTATATAGAGGCATGTTTATTTATTTATTTGTTTGTTTGTTTGTTTGTTTGTTTTTTGTTGTTGTTTTTATACACGCACTGGGTACAGTCAGAAGCTTGGGAGGGTGAGAGAATTCACCAGAGCCAGAGCAGGGAGCAGAGCAGGCAGAAGGACCGAAGTACACTGCTGAGGGGATCAGCGGGCTGCAGGAGAGGTCTGTGCGCAATGTGGGACCCTCCTCCGGTAGCCGGGGAGCAGCCGGGGATCGAACCGGCGCCCCTAGGCTGCGTGCAGCTTCGCAACCCAGCGCTCAACCGCTGCGCCACCGGGGAGGCCCTATGTCTTTATTTTTATTCTAGATACTAATTATAATTTTAATACTCTAATCAATTCTAATTCTAATTAATTACTGTAGTTTTATAGAATAATTTGAAGTCTGGGAATGTGATACCTTCAGTCTTCTTTTTTGTCAAGATTGCTTTGGTTATTCAGAGTCCTTTGTGGTTCCATATAAATTTTAATGTTTGTTCTATTTCTTTGAAGAGTTCCATCGAAACTTTGAGAGGGATTGTGTTGAATCTATATACTTCCTGGGGTATGATGGACATAAATTCTTCCAATCCATGAGCATGGGCTATCTTTCTACTTCTTTGTTTCTCCTTCTGTTTCTTTTAACAATATCTTATAGTGTTCTTTGAATAGGTCTTTTACCTCCTTTGTCAGGCTTACTCCCATGTGCTTAATATTTTTGATACTACTATAAATGGGATTTTTTTTCTTTCTTTCTCTTCTAATTTATTATTTGCATATAGGAATTCAATTGACTCCTGAATGTAGATTTTGTAATCTGCCACTTTACTACACTGATCTATTATCTCTAATAGTTTTTTGTAATGGAGTATTTAGGGTTTTCTATGTCTATAATCACATCCAAGGCAAATATTGAAAGTTTTACTTCTTTTCCAATTTAGATTCCTTTTATATCTTTCTCTTGCCTAATTGCTCTAGCAAGGACTTCTAATGCTATGTTGAACAGTAGTGGAGACATGTATATTCTTGTCAGGTACCTCATCTTAAAGGAAAAGCTTTCAGTTTCTCACCATTGAGTATCATGCATATATGTTTTGGCAGTTATAGCCTTTATTATATTGAGATATGTTCCTTTTATATGTTCCTTTTATTATATTGAGATATGTTCCTTTTATGTTCCTTTTATAATATGTTCCTATTATATTGAGATATGTTCCTTTTATTTTGCCTATGTTTTCTTCTATGTGTTTTACGATTTCTACTCTTACATCCAGGTTATTAAGCATTTTTATCTCCAGGTTATTAAGCATTTTTTACCATAAATGGATGCTGGATCCTGTCAGATATCTCTGTATTTTCCCATATAGCTGCTAACCTTGTCTCTAGAGACAATCCCAAAATGGAGGTAAAAGGAACGGGCTTATGTTTGCTGACACCTACTGTGTGCCAAGCCTGGGCTGAACCCTAGAGTCTACATCTGAAATTGCATGGCCTTCTATGCAATTGGCCTTCTACCAATTCTATGGTCCATGGCCTTCTATGGATCCTAGTGATAATAGCCAACACTTACATGGCATGAGCTATATGCCAGGTGCTATTCTAAGTGCTGAGATCATCCATCCATTCCTTTTAACAACTCCACAGGTTGTTTTCTATTATTATCTTCAACCGCTTTTTATTAAGGGAAGATGGAGGTACAAAGAGGTTAAGTGACTTTCCCCAGATCATACAGTGAGAAAGTATTGCAGGTGGCATTCAAAACCCAGATACTTTGGGCCCAGAGGCCATACCTTTGTCTCCACTTTGTGCTAGGTAGCTTCACTGGAAGGTCTCAAGTTCTGAACTGCTGGCAGATCAGTTCTCCCCACAATTGAAAAACAAATAATGTTCTACATCCTCTTGTGACCTACAAGTACTGTTGTTGAGGTCTTTAGCTTGTTGGTTCCTGGAATCTCGCTATTTGAAATTCATCTCCAGCTATTCTTAGTTATTGGCACCTCAGAGTGAGTGAGTTTATCAGTGCTTATCAGGACTTGATGAGTGAGACAACAAAGAAGACTTTGAACTCCCAGTTAGAGGAGAAGAGCAGAGATGTGCCATTGGGCAGTGTGAGAAGAGAGAATGAAGGAAGGCTGGTGGCATGGATGACATAAGTCCTGAGTCATCAGGTCTCCTCTGAACTTTTAGTGTCTTATCCATCTCATTGGAATTGCTTCCCACAGTTATTCTCTGGCTCTAGGCCCCTCTCACCTCTGCATCTGGAAGTCAGAGCAAAAGGGCCGAGTCAACAGGCTTTGTAGTTCCACATCAACCCCTTTGGGCCTGGGCAGGGCTGGGAAGCTTACTTTCATGTGAGTCCAGCCTAATTCCCAAGACAGATTTGGATAAGAATCTGTTTCTGGAGCTAAAAACCCTTTTTTTGTCCCGTCCCTGCAGTGACCCTTCCCAGCTCCCTGGAGCCCAGTCTGGCCATGCCTCTGTGAGAACTGGAGAGAGCAAGCACAGCCTTCTGGGAAAGGCAGGTGGGGCTGGTGCAGGGAGCGGGGAGAGGGCCTGCCACAGCCACCCTGCTGGACGCTGGGGTTTGCAGCCAGGAGGTTACCTGCTGGCCTTAGTAGGAATAAGACTGCTACTAGTCCAAGGTGTTTACTTATGTCAGGCACTCGCTGAGCCCTAAATACGTAGTGACTCATTTAATCATTACAACAAACCCTAAGTGGTAGAAAATGATGTTAACTTCACTGAGGAAATGGAGGCACCAAGACATAAGAATACGTCTGAGGGCAGTGTACTTCGGTCCTTCTACCTGCTCTGCTCCCCGCTCTGGCTCTGGTGAATTCTCTCACCCTCCCGCGCTTCTGACTGTACCCAGTGCATGTATAAACAAAACAAACAAACAAACCAGCAAACAAATAAATAAAGCATGCCTCTATAAAAAAAAAAATTAAAAAAAAAAATTATAAAAAAAAAAAAAAAAGAATACGTCTGAGGTTAAACAGACAGCAGATGCAGAGCGAGGTTGTAGATCCAGGCAGGGTAACTCCAGGAATCTGTATCACTAACCACTGTGCTATACTGTCCTGAGGAGATAAGAAAGAAATGATGTCTAGAATATGATCTCAGGAAATGAGGGAAAAACTCCAGCCATGAATTAATTCCTCTATGTTCCTATTTTCTCTCGGTTTCACTGCAGTCCTCACACTGCAAAGGGAACCAGCCAAGAGCTTTCTCTCCTTAAAATTCCTCAAAGTCTCCTTTGCTGTCCTCAAGACAAAGTCCAAACTCCTCAGCCTGGCTGATTCAAAATCCTTCACCACCTGGCCCTGACAATTTCTCCAGCCCAGTCTCATGCCAGTCACTTAGGCCATTCTGAACTCCTCAATTTCCTGGGCTGGCCATGCTCCATCACTGCTCTGTGCTGGCACATGGTCACTCTACCCTGTCTTGCTCGTGTCCCTGTGAGCTGCCACACATCCTTCAAGATGCAGGTCAATTGTAAAAGTAGAATCATCTCCTGTGACCTACTATGGGAGGATCTGTGCTCTGGGGCTAGGGGCTAACTCCCTCCGTGTAACTGCCTTACCAATTCCCAGTGGCCAGGGCCTGCTGGTTGGCCACCAAGTGGGACAAGAAATGGGGGGCTGCTATTATCACCAAACTTCCAGGGCTGAGAAACAGGGCTCCTAACACTTGCTCCCCAAATGTCCCAAGAAGTGAGAACTGAAATCTGACCTTGAGCACATTGATCTGTATCTCAGTTT